TTCCGCCATGTTGTAGTCCAAACCTGCAGTCATTGTAGTTCTAAAGAGGAGGTCAACTGTCATGTCAGTGTGACAGAAAAGCAGAGACTTAATTCTAAGTGCTTGAAGCAGTTAGTTTTTCTGAAAGTCCTAGGAAAAATATTCAAGCTTTTATTTTGAAATTTTCATTAAGTTTGATTTTAAATGGCTAATCTAATCCCATGTGTTACAGTGATTTTGTTAAATCAGATATATAATGGTCAAAAGAGCACTTACTTGATGGAAAAATTGTCTAAGCTTTTATTTTGAAATTTTTATTAAGCTTAATTTAAAATTGCCACAGTAATCCTGTGTGTAACAATGGTTGGTTAAAATCAGTTATAAAATGCCCAAACACAAGTAGTTCTAAAGGCCATCTCCTTCCTCAGAGCTCTGCCATAATAAAAACTACAGTGATGCGTTTTTGTAGTCCTAATCAGCTGGCCCTGCTGTGTTCCATTGCTATGGTAATGGATCCTCTGCATGTTGAGAGTCAGACAGGATTCTATCAGTTTGAGGCAGCCATTTTCACTAAAATAGGCATGAGCCAGAAAGGAATCTTTAGGCTTTTATTTTGAAATTTTCAGTAAGCCTCATTTTAAATGTCCAATCTATTGACATGAGTAACAGTGATTGGGTTAAATCAGTTCTAAAATTCTCCAAACCGCAATTTATATAAAAAGTGTCAAGGCTTTTATTTTGAAATTTTCATTAAGCTTAATTTTTAATGGCAACACTAATTCCATGTGTAACTCTGGTGTTTTTAAATCAGTTCTAAAAATTTCCAAAAAACAAGTACTTCTTATGGCCAGCTCATTTCTCCTCAGTAGTAACGGACAGTTCTGCCATGTTGTAGTTCTGCCAATCAGCTCAGACTTCCTCTGTAGGCACGGAGTGTTCCGCCATGTTGTAGTTCTAACCTGCAGTCATTGTAGTTCTAAAGAGAAGGTCAACTCTCATGTCAGTGTGACACACAAAGAGAGACTTAATTCTAAACGGTTGAAGCAGTTAGTTTTTCTGAAAGGCCAGAGAGAAATATTCAAGCTTTTATTTTGAAATTTTCATGACGCTTAATGCAAAATTGACATACTAATCCCATGTGCAACAATGGTTGGTTAAAATCAGTTATAAAATGCCCAAAACACAAGTAGTTCTAAAGGCCAGCTCCTTCCTCAGAGCTCTGCCATTTTAAAAACTACAGTGATGCGTTTTTGTAGTCCTAATAATAATATTAATATTAATAATAATAACAATAATGGAGGAACTAGGTTCCGTTCTAAGAAAGGAATTCAAATAATTGACTTCTCAAATATTTGTGAGATGAGATAAAGGAAACTATGAAAATATGTGCAGATAATATGGCTTCTCAGGACATTAATCCTGAAAAATACCCAGAAAATGCATGGCAGCCTATTTTAGACTGAGCTCAAATTGCATATGCGACAGTGTCAGATGCATACGGAGGTGATTTTTGGGATGTTTTTCACATGAGGCACCACATCCTCCAATGCTTTAGAAATACACAGCAGATACAGAGTAGGATGAGGATATTAACATTCCATGGCTAATCATCTGGATGTTTCATCAGCTGGAAAATGTGCAACAGTGTTTGTGTTTTTGGTGAAAAAAACGGTTTCTCACAATCTTCTGAAACATGCCACACATGCCTGACAGTCTTTGTATTGTTTTGACTGACAACAACTATATATCTGCAGGGCAATGTTTATATAGAGACACATCATTTAATTAAGCACTGAGGTAAATAGATGGATCATCCGAAACATTTAGTAATGAAGCCTAATCTTCTGGAAACCCAGTACATATAATGCTCACATGTACTTTTTTCTTTTATATTTGCAGACAACATTGACAGTGTGTTACATTAGACAAAATGATACTGTAAAACAAAGATACTTCCTTTGAACATGGCTAAATTTAAAAATGAAGTTACCAGCAGTTTAGCTACATAAAAATAATAAAACCTGCATGCTTAGCATATAAATGGTTTGGGGTTTTTCATATGTCTCTAAAATCTTCTGCATTAAGACTTGGGATTTTGCATTATCTCAGAATCTGGCAAAGTGAAGCATTTAAGATGACATGACAACAGACTGCTGCGTAGCAATCCAAAACAACCACCAGAAAGATGGATGGAAAATGTTCAACACTCTGAGGTAATCGCATGTCTTTTCCAAGAACAGAGGAAGGTTGTGGATCCAGATCATTAAAATGCCAACAGTAATACTGTCTTCAATCTTTAAAATACTGAACTCTACTCATGTGCCACATAACTTATGGTCCTTTATTTGCTTTCTCTTGTGTGTGATCACAAAGAAGAGATTCATAGACATCTAAGATATTGACTCGGCCTTTAAAAGTTTTATTGATAATTCGACATACCTAAAATACATACACATCTGATATTGTGAAAGCGTACGATAATTTTTTCCTTCAGCACAATTACATTTTATATGAATTATAAAAGTGTAAACCCTAAAGGTAAATGTGAAATAAACTCAATGACAGATAAAAGGGCTCTGACGAATCATCAGAGGCAAACTAGGGTCAATATTGCTTTCCTTTTCTGTCTTTCCATATGATTCATGTTGTGAGTTCCAATAAATCCTTCAGACAGTGCTCTGTTTTCGGATTTCCTCAACGTCTTTATCTTTCTGCTCATTGTTGTCTGACTTTCTGTTGCTCAAAAACCACATTGTCATCCTGTTCTTCCCAATTTTCCTCTTCTTGCTCTAACTCGCTTTGTTCCTACTGTGAAAATCCCTGTTGCCTCCCGACTTCCTTTTTCCTCATTATTATGTTGCCAGCAGCTATAAAGCCTTCCTCTCATTGCTGCTAACTAGGGTGTTTTTGCAGAAATAATTATGATAATTTATGTCTTTGTGAGCATTACATAGAACAGGACTGTTCTAGAGTTTTTGGTTTTTTGATACCAATTTTAATTGAGCTGCTTTGAACTATATATACATACACACCCACACACACACACGCACACACGCATGCACACACACACCCACACACACCCACACCCACACACACATATATATATATGTAATAGCAGCCACTTCCACATGTTTAAGAGGGAATGTTTGTATGTGTTTTTTTTGTTTGTTTTGTTTTGGTTGATTTGATTTATCACATCATACCCTAATATAAATTTTAACCAAATGCTGAATGTCTCCTTTTATCCACTTAAAACCTCAAGTCTTGCATTATTTATTTTTTTTCACATCAAAAGGTTGAACAAAACCCTTTTGCCATCAGTTGCAGTGTTTTGCTGAAATATTTATACGTTTTTACAGTTTTCATGTCTTACCATGTCTTCATCCAAGCCAATAAATTACACAGTAAAGTAAATTTCAGAATGAGCTGTTTTGCATTGGTAAGCAGCTTTTGGACTTTTTTTTTTAATGGGAGCAACATGTGTAATCACCTCTTCCATGTAACTCGCAGATATGTTTTCCCTACTGTTGCCCCATTTCAAGGGAAATTAACAAACAGTGGTAACAGATTGTACAATTGCTTTTTAGCAACCAAAGATAACATTAACCAAACACCACTTTCTTTACTTTTTGTGCAATGTTTACTTTTATAAGGCACTCTATACTTGCATTTGCCTTCTGATAATTGGTGGTGGCTGGAGAGATTCTTCCAAATGAGCCGCTTGCACTGAGGTACAAGGCAGACTGCTAATACAATAAATCCAGGGCTCTAAAGCAAGCAAATTGAGGGGAAATAAATAAATAAAATAATATGAGCCTACAGGAAAGGTTTGATGTCTGGACCTTTGTGAGAGTGAGAAATGGAGATTTCTACTGAAAACAGATCCGCAGTGACGGACAAGGTGTGACGGGGTCTTCGAGCTTCACTCTGTCAATATGCTTTGCTGAGTGCTGAGTGACTCGAGCCCCATACTAACAATCCCCGTGTTTGCATGAGCATGTTTGCCTGGGTGAATTGGGTCGAGCGAGAGAGTGGTACAGATGAGTGATGAAAGATGGGCAGAAAGTCGATTCAGACCCGCATCTCCATCACCGAGGCTTTGACAATCACTTGACATCTTCTCACGCGCAACTTTTTCTCCTCATGTCTTTACCTTGGCAGAAAGAGAAGGAGTCGAAATATTAAAGAGCAGAGGCAAGCCGAAAAGATGAGATGGACCCAGATGTGAAACACGTGTTAAAAAGTGTTTAATGGCTTCATTGTATGGTTGATGCAATATGAAATGCTACATTTTGAATTATTATTTATATTGTAGACAAATGACAGACAATAACTTTAAAACAAAAAGACTTGTGGATGATTGGAAGATGTTGTTTTTCTGGCACTACATGTTGGCACTGTATATATCTACTCTGACACTCTGGAACATGACTGCTGAAAAATGAAATTGTAGTACCCTGAATGAACTTGCATACTTGGGAAGAAAAGGCAAACTCTATTCAGAAAGCTGGGATTTGGTTTGGTTTGCACTTGCATATTTAATGGAAACATTCACCTGCTAATTATCTATTTTTATTCAATGTACATTTTTTGTCTTAGTAGGATTTAAATTAGACTATTTTGATGGCTCTGAAAAAAAGAGTATTTGATTGTAGTAGGACCAAGGGAAATATGTTGCATTTGGTAGTTGAAGTTAGTATAATAATTAATGGGGAAATTTGAAAAACAATACAAGATGATATAAGAGGACCATCTGGAAATTGTTTCAGTGCTTGATACTTAACTTCTTAACCCCAAAACTAAGATGCATCATATGCTGAACTGTTAGATAATTGCATCCATGTTTCCTTGCAAAAGCTGAGAGCATGTTTGTGTTCCAAACACTGTGATGAGAGCAAGAACGGGTGCTTGGGAAAACTCTTCATGTGATGAAATGTGTCCCTCTGTCCTTCAGCAGGGACATCAAAACAACAAACTGTGTCACTCCAGCTAACTTTTTTTCTCCTCTGCTCTCTCTACAGACCTGCTGTCCACCAACAGGTCGTCCATCTTTAGCGGCCATGACGGCCAGCTGTCACTCAGCGCTGTCCTTCTTGATGAGTACCGCGATCGGCTCTTTCTGGGAGGTAAAGATGTCCTGTACTCTCTCATGCTGAGTCCCATCAGCAGTGAATCCAAAGAGGTGAGGTTTCACTATGCTTTAGACAGTTTGAGTTGAGGATATTTTTGTTCATATCAAGTTTTCTGTTGTAAAGATTGGCATAGAATTGCATATTTAATACACACTGAGTCACTTATTTATAAAAGCTGGAGTAATTCTGCAACTGGTCTCAGTCTGTAGGATGATGATATACGGGTAATGAGACACTGTAGGTTTAGGTTTTTTTTTTTCCCCAGAACTGTTCTTCTATACAGAACATCTGTTTAAATGAACTCTGCTATAAATCATGCACAAACAGGGAGTGGGGGGTCAAACCTGAGCAGACATATCATTTAATATTAGTGCAGTTGCATCATAGGTGAAATGTGGAAAATATTAAACACAATTCAACAAAAGATCGCTTTACAGATAAACAGCAAAGGATGACAGATTCCCAGATTCATGGTAAATTTATTGTTGTCTATCAATCCTTCCTTTGCTCTGTTTACCCTATAAACAGTGTATATCTTAGCATTATGTCCTTTTGCACTCTGAATAGTTACCTTCTAGACAATTCTATGTCAAATTTAATGTTTTTCTTCTGAACAGCTATAAAGGGGAAGCTCCTCATAAATCATTTCAGTAGTTATTATTGTAATATATCAACAGCAAAGATACAAGGATGGTTAAACTACGAGGGAGATATTCTTCTAGAGTCTGGATGTTTAAATATTTGTCATTATATTTATTTATTATTTTCGATTATTTTTGATAATCATGTATCAAAAATAACAAAATGTTGCCAAGCCAGTTCTAAAGTCAAGGCCATACAGTAATGTAATATTTTTGCATGAATGTGAAACAAATTTTCAACAAAAAGTTTGGAAAAGTTTTCATTTTCCTTAAACGTCACCAAAAACTGTAATGTATTTTACTGAAATTGTACCTGATAGTTCAGTGCAAAGTATTGCATAAAATGAAGTGGAAAAGTAGCATCGAGTTTAACCACACTTGACATTGGATAAAGAGAAAGCAGGGATGATGTTGTATGATTGCTCTTTCTACACCAAAACCAAAAGGACTTGGTGCTTTAGTTGCAGGTGTAGGTGGATCTGAAGTGTTGACTCAGAGAGGCTGAATACAACATGCATGAAGCACTTTTCAATTTTGTGTTTTAACCTTTCTAAAATTATTGAACTTATTGCAGAAACCATGTATTCTTTTCTTTCAGCTCCATTCGTATGTCACACAAAATCCCTTTTGTACATTAAAACTTATGGTTCTAATGTGACAAATTCTGAAAAATTTTGTATGTATGCAAGAAGATGAAAGTCAAGTAACAAGCCAGAGATGTCCTACTTATTAAAAACCCTCCAGAGGTGAAGATTAGTGGATTAATTAAACTCTGTCAGGTCAGAGTTTAAGTTTTTAAAACTTTTTAAAATAATAAAACTTATGAAACATGTATATTATGACACATGTTATGCATATACTGCAGTAAGTGATTCAAATCCTGTTAGATGGTGTTTTTTATCTAATATAATTCATTTCATGGATGAGTAAATCAAATGTGCTTAGGTACTACTGGTGGAGTCCTGAAACTTAGACTGAAAGCATGCAAGTCTTTTTTTTTTTGGGAAGACTAAGTCCTCAGGGAAATTGATGAGTTCAGTGTAAAACAAGATTTAATTTCACCAGCATGTGCTTCCCGGCTGGTCGAAGGGAAAATGTGCTGCATATGTTACATGTATTCATACTGTACCTTACAACAGTGCAGCCTTTACATATGTTCCATAAATGGCTTGTGGTGAACAAAGGTAACTTTTTAAAACCGATATTCCCACTGCGCTCCTGAAAGGAGCAGAAACAACACTCGCATGAGCGTGAATGTTCACTTTTTGACAAGTAAAAAAAAAATGTCTTGACTGACACAAACGGGATGTGTGAGTAGAGAAGTGAGATACACTGAAAAGTATATATCACGTACTTATGTCTGCCTCTTAATTTGTCTCTCAGGCCACAGTGAATACACAGACATTAGAAAACACTCATGTTTTAAAAGTTATCAACTTTACCTCCTAAAAAATGAATTTATTATCAGCAAGGAATCTGGTCTATATTCCACCACTTTAGGTAATATCACAGCATGCATTAGAAGCAGTGAAATTTTGTTTTTTCATAATCCAAGATGTTCAACAATGTTGCTAGGAAATATCAAATTTCCACTTGCTGCCACTTCTTGCCTGTTACAAGAAGTCAGAACTACAACTTAGTAACATTTTAAAACCACCAAAGGGAATCACTTCAAAAGTTATGGTGCTGTTTGTTATTCATTTATTGACTATTGTCATGTGGCTGTCATTTCAGCAGATAGTTAATGTTTGGTAGTTTTATTATTATAAATAAAGATGTTGCTTTAACAATGGCAAAAATGTGGAAAAAGAAAAATTATTCACTAATTCAAAGTCAATAAATTCCCATATTATAATTTGCATGAAAACCAAAATATATCATGTAAATCAGTTAAAATGTTTATTTGTCAGTGTTATAATGTTTATACAGTGGTATTCACTATAATATCTTTGGTTATTGCAGCATAAATAACATGTTCAGTCTTTCTTTGCTGCACAGGCCTGGAACTGGGACTGGCTGTCACAGACGTTTTATATGTTTCTGCACGTCCAGACAACTCGTTTATTTTGCCCAGTGTTTGGTTACGTGCGCTGAATAGTGTGAACTGTTCTACCTTGGTGATTCTCGTGATGGCATCTGTTCTGGCTCACTTAGCGTTGCTCAACTCAACAGGAATCCTTTCGGTGTGAAAGCAATACAGTGCTGGAACTGGTGTGTTGATAAAAGCACAGGGCGTGTTGAAAGTTAAAGTCTGTCCTTGGAGGACTGCATTTCTTATTTCTTGAGTGAGTTTTAATGGTCTTAGTCTTTCAGTCCAATATTTAAAACAAACAACATCGTATCACTGTTGGAACTTTGTTCATTACTGGTTTGGGTTTGGTTTCAAACCCAAAGGAAAAGGATAGTTGGTCCCAACGTTTGACAAAACTTAAGGTTAGTTTTCTCTTTTTGGGATGAGATTTATGCCTATTTTGTTGTATATTATTTGCAAATGGAGTTCATTAAAGCATTGGTGATTATCATGGCTCCAATCTTGGCTGAAAGTTAAAGTATTGTTTCTGGATCTACTGATCTCCTTTGGGTAATTTATTTACAGCAGCAGATTAAAGTCAAAAGACTGTGTGTCTTTATGAGTTATTTGTGTCTGGAAAGACGTCAGTAGTTTAAAGACTGTCTTTTATTTATAGATTTTAAAGATTAAAGAAATATTTGAAATCAAATGTCATGTTGTGGAGCCAGAAGTAAAGCATAAGGAGAGGGCTAGAGCGGCAGGTGAAGGCTGGCTGGCCTCCTGAAGCGTGCAAACCCAGAGATTTAGACAATAGATTGAATATTGCAACACAATGACTTGGACCTCTGGGACCTAAAATTGGGGCCGGGTGGATTTTAACAGTATAACAGTATCAGCAAAACGTGCCAGGTCAGAGTTTGTAGTGAGCCAATGACGTACGCACACATTAGTATGGAATATTCTGGATCAGGCCAAATAAAGATCTTTAGAGAGCCGAAGCATTTGGTTCCACCTTAATTTTTAACTTCATTTCATTAAACATAAAAACATATCATCTCTAATGATGGTTCAGTTTTAGAAAAAAAAATCTGCTCATAAAAGTAGATTGGATGTTTAAGAGAATATCCAATCCTTTAATAAGGAGATGGAGCTGTCTGACCAAGGTTATGTCAACTTTGCCATATTAGATTACAGCATAATCAAGATCTCCCAGTTTCTATACAGAATGTGAGTGAAAGTTGACATTTCCCAAATATTTTTCTCATTCAAAGAGATGTACGATAAAATAAAGCATGGAAATACCATTCAAATAATACAATATAATTCAGACTGGTTTACAGAAAATTAGAGGTACAAAGGTTTTTGAAGATTAGTGTGGTTTGACCCATTTTCCTGGTGTTGACTCTGTCAGCAGGATTTTGGATGAACTGCAGATGCCTGTGAAGATGCCATCACTGTAATCTAATCAAAGGGTTTTATTGAAAACCCTAAATTCTGTCAATGTTTTAAGTGTAAGATTAAAGTTTATTCTGTTTAAAAATTAAACTTTATGAGAATATCAGATGTAATTTCATCTCGATAATGATGTGTGTCTTGGATGCTTTCAGGTTTGCCAGCCTTGTTCCGTTTAATTAAGCCTTGATCTTTAACAATGTCTCTTGAGACCAAAAATAATGATTTCTTCATTTTCTCCATAAGGATGGATGGGTTTGTCCAGCTTAAATAAAACTTTTTGGTAGAATTTATAATTATTAAATTACATAAACCTAACTTCAGCTCAGTCTAAATCTTTTTTCTACAATTCTCACAATAAAATTATTTTTACAGTTTCACATATCTGCAACATCACTGAAGCATTCTCATAAAATTATTGAAACAATTCTGGAAATTATTTGGAAAGCCATGGATATTTTCTCAGTTTTCATGTAAGATTATTTTTTTAGACAAAAATTGCTAAATTATTGATAGTTGAGACATGTTTCTAAGGACACCACTTTGCTAAATGGATATGGTAAATATTATCCTGGCCATTGCCTTCCTGTGTTTGAAAAATGTTCTGACTTTCATCACAATCTGTGCTCCCCCTCCTTAACTCAGATTGTCTCCGGTCCATTTTCGACCGAACCAATCAGTGAACAGAAAGAGAAATGTGAACAACAGCATCAATTTTCTGTGCCGTTTTAGTTTGCCTGTAGTTTGAACAATGGCGGTAGAGGAAGTGAAGGAAGCCGTTCAGTCCGTGTCGGCCACTTTTCCAAATATTGAAATAACATCAACAGTTGCCTTGTTCGGGTCAGGACTTCTCTCTTTGCAGTGGAGGACAGTTGTTTACATTGAAGGCAATTTGTGATGAGCTTCTTATCATTGAACTGGCACATTACATACGTTACGGCCGAAAGGGTAAATTTTAAAACCTCAGCACAGTCCACACCTCCAGGAAGCAATCGTTTCTCAATAGTCCAGATCCTCTGGACTGGGCTGTTGATTCTTACCAGGCTGAGACAGTGAGGTTCCTCTTGTTTTCAGTTTTCACATTATTGATACAAATGAAACATAAAGTAGATTTGATTTATACAATTTTGGGTGGATGCGTTTAGTTATTCTGATTTACACCAAGTCCACTGGGAGGATTTTGGTGATTTTGAAGTTTATGTCAGAGGATATACAGTGTGCCTTACAGTTTTACAGCTGACATGAAATCCATGTGTAATTGGTACAAGAAGAGAATGTGGTTCAGCTTTGAGGCCAACAAGGCACTTTACTGCTTCTGATTCATTCTCACTCTGTCCCTATAGCTATGGCAGGAGCCCTAAACACATGCACATGTTCTCCATGCATATTCTGGAGTCAGTGAGCCAACCTAATGCAAGTCTGGATCATTTGTTTTTTCCCCCCACTGGTTGCTTTTATCTCCACTAGCCAAAACAAAGGCAGTTTCCTTCTGGGCCAGACAAATGCTTATTGTCTTTAGAAGTCGGTACAAAACAACAGTTTGACCCACATCACAGAACCTCAACAGAGGCAGGCCTGGACGTTTCTTTTTAGAAACAGCAAGTATTAATGCAACATTTGCAGACAGCAGTGGAAAGAATAGTCTCAGTGTCTTGGGAACAGTTTTCATTTCACACACGTCACCGAGAATCCAACAGATTTTCTCATTCGCGCCTCTTGGACTGTTGCAATGGGAATCCAGATGAAAAAAGAATAGAAAATCCCACTTTATATCTGCATGTTTTTTAAAACAGGCCTGTCACATTTAGTGTATTTTGAGAATAGTTTTGATTCTTGTTGCAGTTTCTCAACCTTATCCATACTCTTGAACAAAGAAAGAAAAATTCAATAATCTTTACATGCCAGGGCGCAACAGCATTTGTGAACAGAAAAAAAAATTCTTGACATGAGATCATAATACAGGTTCAATGTTTATTTAAAAAGAACTCCGTATGACTAAAGATGGGTGCGAAAACCGAACAGAATTTAATAAGACCTTTAAAAAACTTTATTGCTTCGTCTGAAATTACATCAGTTTAAAGCCTGCAAATTTTATGTACCATTTTCAAATATTACCTCAGTATGTACTATAAAGCTTTGGCTTGTCTACCGTGAAGTTCCCCCTTTGCTCATTAAAAACCTTCTGTAGTAAATTGCTTTTGATTTATCTGAACTTTAATCTTTTTGGACAATAATTTCCGTTTGATGATACTAAAGCTCAGTATGTGTTTGTTTTGTTTACCAGAAAATTGCGATAAAGCCGTCCCCCAAAGCAATTACATTTTGCTACATTGTCAAATAAAATGGGTGTTTGTATAATTTCATTGTTATGAGGCCTATTTTTCTCTTACTTCCTTTCTAAATGCCCCTTTGATTTGTCTTCCTTCACAGATCTACTGGCCCCCATTACCTGGAAACAGAGAAGACTGCATTCAGACGGGGAAGGAACAGGTACGCACTTCCACATCTTTACATGTCACAGCCACATGCTCAATGGATTTTATTTGGTTTAATGTGAAAAAACAACACAAAGTGGTGTGTAATTGCCTGGAGTTTCAACATAATGAGTCTCCAATATGTCTTTCAAGTATTCAGTGTTTTAACTCCACCTGGATTACAAATAAGTGTTTTATTTTCAGTTAATCTAAAACTACAGCTTTCTGGCCTCTAAACTATCCCTAAAGGAACAATTATATTTAAGAAACTAGTTTACCTAATGGAGAAAACAAACTTGGGGCTTAACAGTTATTGTAAGGTTTTTTTCTCCAATATCTACCAATGCTGTGTTTTACAAATGTTCTGTAGTTATGTGTAAAAGATTTTAACCACCTGTACTTTCTTTATTTTAATTTCCAACATGCATACTTTCTAGAAATGATTCTGAAATTTTAAAAAAAATCACCAAGTTCCCAGATTCTCCTAAGATTTTAACAACTATTTTTGTTAACATTATTGCTATGTATTTTCACATTTCACAGATTTTTCACTGAATTACTGTTTCACACTTGAACCTTCTCATAACAGCATGATGTGCACTACTTCAACCAGGAAGTAACGGTAGATGAAGCTCACAAGAACAAGACATTTCAGCAATAGGATTTAGAAAAGGTTAAGTTTTTCGGTTGACACAAAGTGAATATCTCACAAATCTCAAACTCAGTGTTTCAAAACTAGGTCAGCTCTAGAACATGACAAACGCCTTGGTGACCTCTGGTATAATTATCTGAGGAACTCCATAACTGCTAGACAGACTTTTATGAAAGCCATCAAAGTGTTGCAATATTCTGTGTCATGTGTTGCTCCTCTGCAGAGTGAAACTCTGTGCAGTTGTTATGTCATAAACACTAAATAAAGCAAATGAATGTAATGAGAGACATGCTAAAATGTAAAAAATCTGAACTCCTTTAACTTGCAAAACAATGTTGGTGCAAATAAAATTCAGAGTATGTTTTACAATTGTTTTGGAAACAAAACTCTTACAACTATTTTATTTTATTTTTTTCAGTCACACAGGGACTGCACGCTGACTGAGTTATAAAAATAATAAAATATTTGCAACTTCTTGCTCTCAAACAAGAAGTGTGACGGGCATCGCATCTGGAACGAGTTAGACTTTGTGTGTCCTCTGTGCTTTCACATATAAGTTATAAGCTTTGTTTGAAGTGGCAGGTGTCTTGGGTGTCTTATAGCAGTTTTATTGTGCATTTCTCATATGCTGTTCACAGGACTCATGCAGGAGAAGATGCATATGTGTGCAGAGGAGGCACAACACTTTATCAGAAAAGTCAAAAGAATGTGCATGTCGATGTCTTTCTGCATTCCTTCACAAATGCTGTTTTTTGTCAGTTGTTTGGTTTTAAACCGAGTGAAAGGGTTTCAGACACCGAACACTCAATTGCCTACTCAATTGAGTTTTCCTTTACTAAAATTAGTATTTGTTTGGTAACATAATAGGAGTTGTTATGAGTGTTGGAAAAAATTATCTCGTTCTATGTTGAAAGACTTTCCTGCCATGACTTCAGCCCTCTCTGGAAATGCATCATTTCTGACTTAAATAGTTGTAAAAACCAAACAACTGGATGGTCTAGTTCATCCAGCAATGTTGCTGTCCAGGTCTTACTCACACATGTGTCACTTTTATGTATTTGTTTATATGCTTCTTACAAGCATTATAGAGTCAAACTTATTTTCTATTCCATGTTGTTTACACTCCCAACCAAAATTCTCTCTCATTGACTTGTTTACTATTTGTTTACTTTTCAGGCAACCAGAACCTCTGAGACTAAGAGTTTCATTAATGATGAAAAAGGAACAGTTTTACCTCGCGGCGTTGATTTCAGCATTCTTCCTGTTGCATTGACATTTTGAAAATGAGCACAATTGTTACTTGTTTATTGGCAAAACTGTTTTACCAATAAATAAAACATAAGGTTACTCAGATTGAGAGATTTGCTCGATGCAATCGGCTTTGGTTCTCTGGATAGAAAACCTCCTATTAATTATTAGCAATAATTGATCAACTGAATTAGTTTATATTGTGTTACAACTATGACTTGCATGAATTGAACAGTTTTAAATTGGATGTGAATCCAATTATACAACTGGATGTTATGTAGCTAAGTGTTGAACTTCAACTCATCTGCTTTCAAATTACCTTTGTGGGAATTGTTAATGTTATATAATTAAACTGAATTAAACTGGTTAAAATATTTCTTGGTTTTACATTAATATGCTGAAATGTTCTAAACATTTGGTAAAAGATAGGATGAAATGTGACCAAAGATGCAGATTTCAAATGCTATACAGTTTCGGTAACGGCTTTTGGTATATTTTCTGAATCACTCTGTTCTTTTTTTGGAGGTTTGTAAAAAAAAAAAAAAGGTTTACACAATGTCTAGTGAGCAAGAGTTCAGCACGGAACAACCTCTGCCATTTTTTATGGTTACCAGAAAGTGTTTAAAAACATGCACCTTAATTGTCAATGTCGTACTGACAACACTGTTTGCAAGATCACTGAATTAGTCAAACTTCCACAAAATGATTGCATGTGGCCAGACAGTTGGGTTTCGTCAGCAATGAGGTCGTCATAAAAGTTCACTACACACTGACCCTTTGCCTGCTTTATGCCATCCAAAACCATTAAGCTCACTATTGCTTCACTGCAGTTTTATATCTGGATCGCCAAGCAGCACTGTGAACTCATACGGATCTAACTTTCTATCGTTTTACTGTTTTTAGACATCAGGGGATGAACTTTTATTGTATTCACATTTAACTGAACTTTTGAGTGATTGATGGAAACACATTTTCTTGCTTTTTTATGCTGTAAATTGCAAAGGCCTGGAGAAAACCTACTTAGCAATATGATATTACTCATATTTATTTGTATTAATGATTGAAATGGCAAAAAAGAAATATAACAATGTTTTGGATACAAAATTGTTCTTGTCAGAACTATTATTCACGCCAATGTGGTTTTTGTGGGCAACATAAAAAATATGTAGCATGTATTTCTGTGCAGGAATATTTGTGGTCACCCAAATCTTTCCTAATAATTAGAGCTAAATACAGGGAACATTGCTGGCCTTTGTCTTCACCAGATATTTATGCTGTAATTTTCAATTCTGGCCAGAAGAGATGAGTGTGTTAGATATCAAACCACTTCATTTTTTGCTGAACCACCCTTCCTCTGCTGCCACTTCTTCTCTGAAAGACCACACAGAATTGTAATACCCCAAATCCCTGAGTGAAAGGCTGCAGACATAATTCAGCTTTTCAACATTTCATTCCACGTTTTGGTCCCCACGGCACCTACAATTTCTAAGACATCTTTCTTGCTGAACATGAGGCGGATTTACACATGTTGGGTCCACTCAGCTCAGAGGGACATTGTGCATCCTGTTGCAAAACACAAAGTGAAATCCAATATTTTTTTTACTTGGCAGACTATCTGTGCCAAAACCTTTTTGACATTATACAACACTCAACATAAATGGCTTATTGTGCATTTTAAAATGCATGTTTGCATGTAAGCATCGATTTCCACATGGACTAGAAATGTTCCTCAACATTTCCAAATCAACAAGTCAAGGGTAGAATCTCAAATCTCTACTTTGCATTTTTTTTTTTTTTTTTGTCAGCACATGTTGAGGTTGTCTGTGATTGGCCAATTTGTAGGAAAGGTGACATTAGTGGTTCACTTTTCAGAGAAATCACTGAAATGTGAGGCTTCCATATGATATGTATTCAGATTTTGTCCTGTAATATCAGAAATACGTGTCTCACTTGATTGATTAAAGTTGTTTCTCAAATGGCTACAGTGTTGCTGAAGCACTGAAGCAAACTGGCAATTCAATTTCTTCTCGGTAGAAAACAATTTCTGGTCAGCTGCTGGTTTTATAACTCCTCTATATCTCCACATGCACATGAATCTTTGTAGAAATATAATACTTATATCCTTAGACATAAAGCCTTTTGGTTCTGTTCTTCTGTGTCACTAATTGTTTTTTTTTTTTTAATTAATTTATTTTTTTCTCTGAGAATTTGTCCATCACCGTTTTTAACTGTTTCAGTAAAATATCAACTTTTGTGATTTAGCCTTCATTTTTTTGTGTTTATTGTGGCATTTTTGCTTTTCCATAAACCTTTACGGGAAACTAAAACATTCTGCAGGCTGGATTGACTGTTTTATCAGTCATATTTTATGAGAAAAGTATGGACATATTTACGCTTGCATACAGGCATCCATTCTGTTTCTGAAGTTCTTTTGATATTTTCATAGTTTTTTTTTTTTTTTGCCAGTCATGGCTGCTGTCCATATGAGTAGTATGAGTATATGAGTAGTTGGAAAACTTTAAGATTTTATCAGATGACATTCTTCTTGGCCTTCACTGCAAACATATGTGATCAATAAGCCTCATTAAAAAACAAAAAAAAAAAAGTCATTTAGGCCATGGAAATGAGCTTATCTGCATTTTGATGACATTCACTATGATTTGATTTATTGTCTGGTTCTCCCTTTATTCGCCCAGATGTGTTTGTGTGCACAACAAAGTACTCTTTCATCATGCTTTTGGGCAGAGGTTTCCTGTTGACATACCATAAACATTTAGCCTCCTTTTTTTTAATGTTGCGAGCGCATAAGGGCTTTCTGCACTCAGACACTTTAATGACATACTCATGTCAGAGATGTAAAAAAGAGCCTTAATTAGTATGTGTGGATTTGTTTTGCAGGCGGAGTGTGCCAACTTTGTTCGCCTCCTGCAGCCGTACAATCGCACTCACATATTGGCCTGTGGTACCGGTGCGTTCCAGCCCATGTGTGCCTTTATCTATGTGGGCCACAGAGGAGAGGTAAGTGGAGGAGTGGAGGAACGTTGTGCATCTGTTCTTTGTCTGGATGGATATAATCAAACAACTTTGCACACACATGGAGCAACAAATAACGGGACTTTTGAGGAACCCTACGACCTTAACAAAAAAAAAAAATTTATGTTTTGGTGAATGTATATTAAACTATACCACATCATATTATCTGAATGAACTTTGAACTCTACATGTTAATTTCAATAGAGAAGATAAAAACATCAAAATTTCCACAAAAATGGCAATCATAGTCTTTGGTGCGAAATATAGGGCTTTTAACACATTTTTACACTAAAAGGTCAAAAATTTGCTTCTTTTTTAATTAAATCAATCTTTCACAGTGCAGGTTCTTCATTGAGGAACAATACATACAAGGTACTAGAAGAGTGAACAGCTAAGAATGAAAATTATAGACTGACTGTTTTTGGCTTCTTTATTTTTACATTTTTGGAAGGAAAATCTGTGTTGTAATCTGAAGAAAACTTTAGAGGAGAGATCACCGCAGAATCTGATAGACTTTATTAACTTTGGCAAACTAAAGAGAGTAAACGTCCTTCATTTACTCTCTTCACATCAACAAAAGCTTTTATATAAAATAATTGTAGCTTTATTTTTTTTCCTCACTTCATTTGAATGGGAGATGTATCGCACTATAAGGTAGAAAAGAGTTTTTTCCTTGGTGCCTTATATTTATTTGATAGAGGGAGTACATTGTAACAACATGTGATTTTATAGACATATAGAAATATTTCATTAAAACTACATCGAATTCAGAAGTGGACAGAATTTGGAGGACCTTTGCAGGAATAGACAAGGTCTTCCTGACTCATCAAGCTTACAATTGGTTTCCTATTATACTCAGAAGAATGTAAGAGGGTTTTTTTTTGGCTATTCATAAAGTATTTATAGAACGGTTTTGGTGGTGCAACCTGGGGACACTTGGAAGTAGGAAAGGGAGAATAAGCATGACACAGCATAACATGTTGATCAGAAAATTTGAGGCTGGATTGGTTGCTCCATATAGTCCAAAGTTGCAACATCAACAAAATTATTGCTTCATTCCTGGCACCACAGCTGCTATGTGCTAGTGCGCAGGTTTCTGGGTGACTAAAGAAAGTTGTGATGTTTTATGTGGTCTGTGGATGCAAAACTATCTATTGTATGTGGTGGTGGTGAGTAAGAAAGAGTACAACATATTACATGCAGCAATTCATAAGGTTTAGGGTTTAATATCATTTCGGTTTCAGAGTGTCTCATAAAAACAGAGGCTTCAGAATCACAAATATATGCAAAGCTGAGGAATAGTTAATAAAACCTAAATGCAAAATATTTTGACTGAAAATTACCCACCTTAAGGGCAGCAGCTGAGTGGTGCATATGAGGTGATGTTTTACTCTTGGAAACTCTATGTTAGTATAGCACAGTCAGGTTCAATGCTGCATTGTGTGTTGGATCAAATAGTGGAATAGAAATGTAATGAAACATGAAGGATTTCCAAGTGAGATATTTGGACAGTGGGAAGAATTACTGGGTGGCACTGAAGTCCTTCTGTTAGGGAAATGTTCTTGAAAGAAGTGTGTTTTGCTTCCAGTTCCCAAAAGGAAAAAGAAAATAAACTGAGACAGGCTGGGGGTCTGGGTACAAATCACTGGGGTCTCAACAGGCAGCTCTGGCATGAGTTTTGTTTAAGGGCGACTCAGCCACAGCATAACCCTCTCGATACATCTTTTTAACTACGCCGGCTGTCCCTCCTCGTATCCACTCGGCTCACAGTCAAAGCCATGCAAAGCACAAGAACCTTTGAATGAAGCTATCAAAACAATCCTGCATTTTGTTGTTTCAAGGCAGTTTTTCACGTTTTTCTCTCCTGCTAGAACCCAGCAGGAGGGGGTCAAAACCTGGATTCAGAGAAGGGCTGGCTGACATTGGTAGAGCTGTGTAAGGGAAACGTGCAGTGGCAGGATGCCAACCATTAGCGAACGAATGCATTGATTTGTTAGCATATATAAAGGAAATCGAGTGCGGTAAAACATTATTTTTTTCTGAAGTATCCAGTAAGTCATCCATGTGTGTGTTCCCTTTCTGGTACGGTTTTCCTTTTCACTTCCAATCTGTCATTTTCATTGCGGTTTCTACTTTGTGGATTTCAAGGAATAGTAGAAGAAAAGACAGCAACAAAAAACAAGTCAGCAGAATCCCTGTAAGACTGGTTGGGCTTTTATGTAAAGGTTGGTTACCTTTTCAGACCTTTTCCAGTTTTAAACGTTTTGTCAACATTTGCATCACAGTTGGATGAAAACATGAGTGAAAGGTAATTTAATTTTCTAGAGGAAATTATGAGGCAGTCTTTTACTCACATATATGTGTAATTATTCATAAAAGCATCAAAAACATTATAAAGTGGCCAATGAACAAATAAAAACTCGTCAAAGACAATATAAAAAAAAATAATCAAGAAGTGAATTTTCCACTTTCCCAGCATTCCGCCAGCAGAGCATTGTGGAGTCTAATGGCCAGTGGCATAAATACATTCCTGAACCTCTTAGTTGAACAGCCCACTTACAGAAACCTGAGAGAAATCCTCTACTGGGAGAAAAAAAGTGTTCAAGAGGTGGGTGGTAATTTTCTGAACTATCTTCAACTCCTCTTTTCCATCATGACTCAAAAGACTCCAGGCTCATACCAACCACAGAGCCAGCTCTCCTGATGAGACGGTCCAGCCTCTGAGTGTCCCCCGTTCCTCACCCCTCCAACATACCACCGCATGCAAAAGTACAATAGCAATGATTGACTGATAAAACACGCACAGTAGCTTAGAGCTCATATGAAAAAGGGCAAGTCTCCTCTAAAAACAGGCTCTGGCCTCGTGTTGTGTTTGCTAACCAGTTCAACCTTTTGTCCAGATGTATGTGTTGACCACTTCTGCAACCTTACCATCTATGGAAATGAGATGAAATGAAAGTCTATTAACAGCTCCTGTGTTTTAGTGGTTTTGAGCTGACATCTATTCTTCCTGCACCACTCCATAAAGTCCTCCACCAATCTCCTGTACCCCCCTCCCATCCCTAACTTGCAGTATTGTCTGAGAATTTCTCCCAGGAGATATGTATTACAGTTGTAGTTGAAATCAGTGGTGTACAAAGTAAAGGGTAGGGGTTAAAAGCACAGGCCACCAAAGGTAGCCTGTCCATTTACTGGACCAATCGTTTACTGGCGAACACACAACTGCCTGTTTGTGTGACCTCTCCCAGGAAATGAGTCTCCAAGGCACTCCGACTGGACACTGGGTGGGATGACCTTTAACCTAGTAGGCGTTTCATCTCTGTTAGGGGCAGATGTACCCATTTACTTTCTAATTCTCTCACATCAGCCCACTGGTGCAACCAGTGTTGTTGCAACGTTGCCTAATGCCGCAAAATTTCACATAAAAATCTATAAAACTGTGAGAACTGTGGATTTTAATCATTTGAAAGCAGCTGGTGAAGTGAAGAACAAGGCTTTTCTTCACACGGCCTAGTCAAAATCTGTTAGTATTGGAGACTTTGTTGTTGTTATTCCGTATTATTTAATCCCCACAGTATTTTTATGGGATAAAAACAAAAGTGTGTTTGACAGCAATCTAGTCCATTAAACACTAAACACATCCTCATGATGGATAAGAGTGATATCTGGCTACAGAGAACATGAAAGCCATAGAAAGTTTCTTTTTGTAACTGTTGTATTATGAGACTGAACTAAAATCTTTTTTTTTTTTTAAATGGCGTTATTTACAAAACGTCTTAGTAAAACCAGTGTCTTAATTGATTATGATCATATGGTATTCATCTATGAGTTTGTGAGGGCCTTCCTCTGGGAATCGTAACCACAACCTGGCACTTATAGATGGACATAGGCTAGAGTCCCCACAGTGAGCGACACGACTGCCTGAGGAGAGTCACAGACGTACAAATAAACCTCCGTCGTACAGTGACGACATAAGGAGGACGAGACCACACGCACATACACAAACAGCCGGTCAAACAAAACAAATGGCACCAAACTGAGCACATAAATATGCAGAGATGCTGACAGAAACATACACAAACATGATGAAAGACATGGACGTTGAAACACAAATAAAAAGAAATGAGCTGTGTGTTAAATCCCACAAAGAAGAACAAAGAAGAGTTAAATTTTTGCAACAAACAATAGCTGTCAAGAGTTGGGAAATGTACTGTAAATGTTTGCATACTCAGGATTCCTGAAATGGAAGCTCAATGTTTCCCAGTTAAAAACTCTTTCTCAGTTCAAATTCTCATGTAAGCAGCATTTCTAAAAGTTATTTCTAATATTGTTCAAGCAGGTTAAGAACTAATGTAAATTGCAGCCTTCATGGCTGCATCAAGGACTATCCCAACATGTGTCTGCGATATTGTGACACGCACCAAAACAGTATCTTTTTTTTTTCTCTGATCCTAAACTGAAAATTGAATGGGTTGTTCTCCCTTTTGTATTTTGCTGAAGCTGCTTCTGGATTTGATCTTCAATATTTTGGGCTCTGATTTTTGTTTGGTTGAGTTCAATGTCTAAAGGCGAATGCCACCACAAGAGTCACTGCAAGAGTGTCTACATTTAGATGTGGTAAAAACAACAACAACAAAAAAAAACCCATTAAGCTCTGTGTTGATGGACTTGGTGGCTGCCCCCATTGTTCTTGGATAATGAGCTTGGTAAATTTGTGCTTTAGTGAGACTTCATCTTATAAAAGAAATTACAAGTTTGTTCAAGTCTTGCTTTGAAATGGTTCAGAGATCAAATCTGCTAAGGATAACAATATCAAAGTTCAGAAGAGGTGCATCTTTATCCTAAAGGAACCATTTTGCTTTTTCCAAATTCATATTTTGAAAGCTATCTTATTCTCTGTACCTCATTGCTTGCCTCAGATTGTACACCCTTTTGCCCTTTTCTTGTCACGGTGTCCATAAACACATTGAGCAGAAGTGGAACGCCACATCTCTTCATGCACATTGAGAGTTGTTCAGATTGGCCATATTGGGTTCATTTCCATAGTGGTTGAATCTTCATAGGCCAGTAGAAGAAGCAAGAACAAAAGACCATCTGACTCTGGAGTAACTTAATCCAGGGGTATTTGTAGTGACACAAAGTTGAGTAAATGAACAGATGAGAAACTGCTGTGGGGGACTAAGAAAGTAAGGCAGAGAGGGAATGGGCCCGGTAAATCTGAATTAGCATAAATGGCTGAAAAGCAAACCACGATTCACTGACCTGAATTCAAAGTCCAGCAGATTGCGATAGTCAAACTTCAACTGGGAGGTTTTCTCTCTTTTAGCGCTCAAACATCTGGACTGCATGTCTGAACAGAGTCCTGGTGGACCTGAATGGACAGACATGAATCGACAGAGCAGCAGAGTGGAGAGCGGCGTCAGAATTTAACAGAGAGTTAACATGACTAAAAAGTGTTGGATTCGCTTGGCTAGAAAATATTTTGTAAAGCAGAGATTAGGGAATTAACAAAACAGGGTTTTTACTTAAAATGAAAATAATATAGCAAACTTAATTATGAGTGGAAAAGCACTAACAAGTTCATTTCATCTACCATTTACCATCTGTATGTGTCTGTTGTGACCTTTCTCAATGGTTTTGCTGTTTGGGTTCTACAGTATTATGCTGTATTATGCTTGGCAGACCTAAATTCAGAGAGCTCTGAATGTTTCCTTCTCCGTATCACAGAACTTGTGTGTATTTGTTTTGACAGAGTGTGGCCCAAGTGACTCTGACACGCTAATGAGCTGCTCGATTCCCGTGGAACATCATGAGAAAACACATTCAGACACGCATGTTCACACGCAGCAATGCTTAGAAAACTTGACTCTTGCTCATCTGGGATGAGCAAATGAGCAGTGTAAAAACATACAAAAGAGCAAAACACAGCCAACACACACACACGTGCACACTTGTACACGCTTAAAAGGAGAAATCCAGATGGGAAGAGAAGATAATTTTCCATAATAATATTAAAAAAATCTCTGAATACACAAAAAAATCTGAATGACTAATAAGATTATTATGTCAAACACAAACCTTTTCTTGATTTTTTTTTCACTAATAATGCATTTTGCATGATTTTTATGTGAAAGACCAAAAGAGTAATACGTAATTGTGAAATGAAACAAACATTTAATGGTTTCCAATAAAATCTAAAACATGTGGTGAAAATTTGTATTCAGTCTTCCTGAGCTAATATTTTTGCAGAACCTGCTTTTGTTGCAAAATGGCTTTAAATCATTCTGTTTTATGAATGTCTGCCTGTGAGCAGCAGCTTTGGAGTTCAGATTCGTATGTTTGGACCTTAGACACTTCTGCAAGGCACTGCAAGTTCAGAGATTAATCAGTGTGAGCTTGTGTTTCAGCGCTGTGCGTGCTCGTGGCCTCTGCATATTCACTTCACTTCCTGTAAAAGTCGTTCAAACCTCTTGACGAGCACTTAAAAAGCTATACGTGTCTCAAATAAAATAAGTTAAACATCCTGACACTGCGAGGGAGTTTTCCTGCGCTGGATCGCTTTGACTCATTCATGTTCCTCAACACGTACTGCTGTGCTGCACGAGTGTGTGCGTGTGTTGCTGCACATCTAAAGCTAAATGGGTTTTGCGCATATTGTTTGCCAATTCTGACAGAGCTTTTTTTAAGCAGCTGACTTCAATGTCATCATCTCCCCTGTGATCTCTGCTCAATGAAGGACTCGCCCACCGTGTAACAATGCTCTATTGTTTATGAGAGGAACATGGACTGAGAAACAGAGTTCAGGGCCAGGGCACTTTAATTTGTCACATGGGTTTGTATCGAAGTCAGAGTTTTATAGTTGCTCCTGTCACCTTCCATTCCTATTTTTCTCCTGGAAGTAAGCTGCGTTTGATCGCACTGAGACGTTTCTAGTACAGACGGGCTGGTGCTCTGGTGGCATTGAAGTGGAGAAACAAAAGGGCTTTTATCCAAAGCGACCTTTTCTTGACCTAAAAAGTCACACAGTCTCAGGATGTGGACTGAGTTCATTAAGTTAGTTTGACCAACCAATGAGTTCAGTCAAAAACACCCTGTCTACCAGCCTCCCCACTTCAGTACTTTATTACGTTTTGTTTCATTTCCACAGTCAGAACAAAAGATGTGGGCAGATTTATTTTCACTAAGAGACTAGTACAGATGCTGTTCAGGATAAAGAGTAAGTGTTGGATCTAATGAGGTGCAATGGGAAGGTGAAGCCGGACTGACACGAACACATTGGATTTTGCACCTGGCCCTGTTGTGGATGTATTTATTGAGGTTTCCCTTCCTCCTCCTTTCATCCTGCACTGATTTGCTGAGCTTTGTGCCACATAATTCACTGCAGTGGGCAACATGAGTTACAGCTTTGAAATTAAAAACCCTGTTGAGGTTTTGCATGTGAGGTGAAACAGGAGGGGTATTTTCACAAAGTGTTGCATCTGAATTTATTTGGAGTACTAGAATAAAATGTTTTAACCATGTAGATATATAAGCAGAAAAAACAGAATGATAAATAATTTAAAAAAAGAACCAACTATCCCCAGGTCTTTGTTCTGTTTTTATTAATAAGTTTTAATGTTTGTTTGGGATCAGTGCCTTGTTTGAAAACCCAGTTGGAGCAAAGTTTTAAACATTTGACTTAACTGCAAGAGAAAATAAAGAATGTTCCTTAAAAAAACCCAGGAATGATCAAAATGTTGCTGCTGCCAAGCTTCTCGTGGTGAAACACCAGCGTCACAATCCACATGTGACTGAAAAACATTTCCCATAAAGAGAGAAAGATCGCCCTTTCCACAGACTTTCAAGCATGACTGACATTTGTAGCTGCCCACCTGGAAGAGACACCTTTTCTGATCAGACAATATAAACATTGAGCTAAGTGGCCACAATGACAAGACAAACTTCAAACTTAAGACAACTGTCAAATATTGTGGTGATAGTATCGTGCTGATGACGCACACAAAATGGGCAGAAAATAATAAGGGTGGGGTCCCTTCAAATTGTTCAACTTGACACAAATAAGCGGATTGTTCATGCTTGGACACCTTAACATCCGTGTGGAAATGCATGGTCTACAGTTTAAAATTGCTTTTTGCCTGTAAAACTAATGAATTTAAGTGAGATCTGCCTTTTGTGCCAGTCTCTATTGTTCCAGAACCATGTTAATGTCTTCTGGTGACGGCCCTAACCAAATGTTAGTGCTAATGTATTTGGTATGTGAAGTAAGGAACATGAGTTAATTAGAGTGGACTCAATAAACTTTTTTCATGATCTGGGCTGAATTGTGTTAAATACTTTTACGGAACAGGTAGTCAGCCTTACGCTTATTTGGCTTGTGCTGTAACAAGAAATAAGTGCTAAACTACCAGCTGTTAAGGTCTGTTTTTGTGGCAATGTGAACCGTTTTTGGTGGACTGCTTTTATTATTTCTAAAGAAATGTTGTCAATCTGCTCAATTTTAGGATCTCACCCAGAGTTCATTTACTCTTAGCGGTTCATTTTCCTTCTGCGCATTTTGAAAGGCCAGATTTAAAATGTGTCTTTTATTTATAAATGTAAATTCTATGCTTGTTGAAAACTATTCTAGATGATTACCAAGAAAATATTTTCCAGTGGGATATTTAAACAAAAAATAATTAGTTACTTTGCTAGCATAGCAAAGCAGAAAGTGTTGATAATGCCTTATTGTTTGGTTTTTGGTCTACAAGAACACATTAGACCAGCGTCATAGCCTTTCAAGTGTAACAATGAAATCGGCAACTTTCAATAAATTTTTTACTGTTGATAAAGTCCAAAATTTAACAGCAGATTTCATTTGATAGCAGTATTTTCTTTTATTACCCAGCTGGCTCCTCTGCAGCCAGGTCTCCCAGGACAGATCTGCACTGGGAACCGAGTGGGAAATTTATCTGAACTCTGGCAGCTCTGCTAATCCTAAATTTCCTCTTATCTCAGACGGCTCCTTCGTTCTCAGACAGGCGAAGGTTCGATGAAAGGACGAGTAAACGTGAAAAGCTGTGTGAAACTCCAAAACGTCCCAGTTGGACTAGTCTGAATGTTGAGACAAAGCTGAAGAATCTCTCCTCCCCCGCAATAAAATTACAGTAACGTCTTTAAAAAAGAACACGTTCTGTCTGCTTTGAGGCTGTACCTGCTGAACTTTTGCTTAACAAGATAATCAGTTTCAGGTGGTGCAACGGGCTGACCTTGTTTGTAGACGGTCAATAAAAACATTTTCCACTTGGAGGAGCTGGTGAGGAATATATGACTCAGTTAATATTTCAGCTCTGTAACCTGAATCATATGAAGTAAATCTGTATTTCTCATGCGTTTCTGGAGCTGTGATAAATATCAGCTTGATAGAGTCCTCCTCGGGGCCCACCTGCTGGACTTAATTTACACACTTGTAACTGTGCCTTTTCTTCCCCAGCACGTGTTCACCATGAACCCACTGAATGTGGAGAGTGGACGAGGAAAGGTTCCACATGACCCCAGCTTTCCGTTTACAAGCACCTTTAGCGGTATGTCACAGTTCATTTTCCAAATGTGTTTATCACTTTATTATTTTGTTTATGGAACTAATAGCAGAATGTTAATTGTGTATGCGAACCATATGGGGTGTAATATCTGATTCTGGTTTATGAGATGCAAACTGTGACTGTGAGTTCAGTCCACCCCATTATAAATAAATAACTTTTGTTCATATTTCAGTACATAAACAGCCTGAACTAAGTTTACAGTACTCTAAAAGGCAGTCTTTAGTCACAGACAAATGATGATATAATTGGTCAGCAATCTGGGCCTGACCTGATGATCTCTGCCTGTTCTCTTTACTCAAGCTGACTCTACTTTAGTTTGGCTCTGTTCTCATTCACATCATTTTCATGATGGATGGAGCTGTTGGAAGGTAAAAAGGGTTTCAGGATTTAGACATGTGACATTGATACGTTTTCCGTTGCAGCAACCACTAAATTCAAATTCAACTCAAAACTACTTTATTGATCTCGAAAGGAAATTAAATGTGCTACTTGAATGGCATCCAAACAGCAGAATATGCTGCTGGAATAGTGTTTAAGTATTGTGACAGAAGATGTCACCTGTCAAAATCACCTGAACTAAAGATCTGTGGTGTTATTTAAGATCCACTCATTTCAGCCTGTTTGTTTGCAAACCTTCACACTTTATCTTGCTAATGAACAGCTGAAACTATTGCAGATTAAATCATTTAGACTTAAAAACTATAGGTAAGCTTAATGTGAGTGGTCAGGCTAATAGTTGATGTCTACCATCCTGCAGCACCTCTAGGTTTTTAATTTGCTGCATACTGAACTCGGGATGACTCTGGAGTGCCATCTTTTTGACTTTAGTAGGCATCATGTTAGATTTTCCTGTGTTGGAAACCAGAAAATGCAACTTCCAAGTACAAGCACCATTATGCCCTGCATTTGTCACATCTTTAGACTTCTACCTGCTAGAACGTACAGGTAACAGATTTGTACTTATGACCGTATTGTACACCTACAATAAACCCATATTGTATGTTGGTTCTTGTCATACCAATAAGACAAAAGCTTATTAAAAGCAAACCTTTCTTGATTTCAACATGTGGTGAAATGTACACATTTTGAAACTGTCCCCACTAGAATAAACAATTTTGGGTGTTTCTCATGAAATGTCATTAAGTATTTATTGCACCTTGTGAAGGAACATTGATTTATACCAGTGACAGATGATCCTGGGATCGTTTTAGGGTGGAGGCCTGCATAGTGCGTGTGTGCATGTGTGTGTGTGCATACATCTGCACAGCTGGGTGATTCCAGCATCAGAAATCATCCAGCAATGCTTTGTGTTTGGCAGGAAAATGTTAAAACCTGAGCCAAATATTTGGCAGTGTGGACCCCAGCTATCATATATAGTGGCCACATGGGCACACAAATGTTCAAGTTCACTGCAGAAATAGAGAGCGAGTTAGAGCGGTCCATATAGTCAGAGTCATTTGATAATGTGAAGACCGTGATGTGTTCAGATTACTCATTGAAAGACTAAAAAACTGACGCAGTGAATTCACTTATTTTTTTTGGGCCTCCTAGCAAAGTTTTGTTCAATAAGATTTATTTCTTGCTCCATTTTTTTTATCTTGGAAAATTGATTTCTTTAAGATTTTCAACAATTGCAATCAGTGCCACTAATGACTAAAATTGCTTGCATTGCTTCAAAAGTACAACTCTTTCAACAATTTATCTTTATCTGATCTTTTTTAAAACTGTCTAACTCTTTTGTATCAGCTTTCAGCTGATGCTTTTCTTGATCCTTTCTCCAAAAAAAAAGCAATGTGGTATGGTCAGCACTAATTAGTTTGTCTATCTTTATATATTTCCTCATGAGATAACAAAGCTGTACAGAGACACTGTATTTGTCTCTGCGATTTTAAGAAGAATGGGTGTGTTTCTAATAGCATTAGTACTGCCAAAGAAAATAAATGTTTTTTTTTTCTTCACCATGTTTTACAAAAGCAATCTGTGGGCCAGATTCAGTTTCAACATTATCCAGGGGGAGAAAAACAACAGCTGAGATTTCAGAACTCATGGAGTTCTTGAGAAAAACTCAGTGATGACAATTCATGATCTAAAAAGTGATTTTCTTTCTATTTTTTTTTTTTTTTACAGTTTAGGCAGAAGATTTGCTAATGACATAATTGTTTAATGTGTTTATGTTCACAGGTCAGAGACAGAGTTGTACACAGACTTGCTCAAATAATTGCTCTCATATTTTCACTCAATTGTGTTCAGGCTTGTTGTATTATATTAATCTCAGTGTCAGAAATCGAGGAACATGAGAACAGCTGTGACAGGGGAAAAAAAGTGAGAACAAGGCCACAGATTACAGCTTAAAGCTGCTGAACAGTGATGATGGTCCTGAGAAAACTACAACATTAATTCATAAAACAATGTCTACAACAGTACTGTGAAGTTTCTCTGTCATGAATCCAGTGTGCCTTAATTTCACTGCAGTAGAAGATGGACTAAAATATGCAATCGTAAAATGTTTGTGATGTTGCCTTTGTAATTTCTGCTACTATTCTGACCTGCATTGTCACTCTGATGTGCAAAGATCTGCAGCTGTATGTTTCTTCAAGTGACTGTAACCTCAATAACCCACTTTTTATTGGCCAGGAATGCATTCAAAAATGCAAGTCTAAGTTTTTCCACATGATCCATGTCTTTTTCTTTGTCGTTTACTTTCAAGCACCTCACCCATGTTTACTTTACATTTGGGTTTTCACTTGAAGGAAATATGTTGTGTTTGACTCTGAGAAAATATGTCCTGTATCAGACATGTCTATTTGTCAGAGCTCAAAACTTTCTGTGACGGTCTGTGCACCGGGCACAATCTTCCTGTCATCCATGCTGTGATTCATATCAAACTATTATTTTAGTTTTCAGGCACAAAGAAATTAAATAGGCTGTTTAAATGTTTTTCTTTTTCTCTCCACCTCTGACTCTGCCTGCCTGCAGGTGGAGAGTTATACACAGGACTGACTGCAGATTTTCTTGGAAGAGACTCTGTGATCTTCAGGAGCATGGGAGGTCGCACCACCATGAGAACAGAGACTGACCAGAAGCTTCTTCATGGTAAAAATGTCACTTATTTATTATGAATGCTTGCACAAATGGTATGATCTAGGATTAAGACAAGTGAAATGTGTCTCTAATACTGAAAGCGGCTAAATTTGTGGGGTTTTTCCCCCATAAAGTGGTGGTGGATGTCAATAGAAAGTCAAAAAGTCTATTTAAAATTAGGGTTCTCCTTTTAGGTTGTGACTTTTTTTCAACCTCCCGTTTACTCCTTCCAGACCCTCGGTTCATCGCTGCCCACCTCATCCCGGATAACGATGACAGGGACGATGATAAAGTGTATTTCTTTTTCACTGAGAAGGCCTCAGAGGGAGGGGACAAGGAGGAGGCCATCCATACGCGAGTTGGACGAGTTTGTGTGGTGAGATATCATAATCGCTACTTATTTTTTAGACAGTAAATGATTATGTTTCCAGCTCTCAGCTTTAGAGGAGCTTTGCTGTGAGTTTACTTTCTCTTCCAGCAGTTAAGTCCTTCTGGGATTTACCAATGAAAACCTCAACAGATTAGATCTAAATACCCGACCATGCTATTTACGTCACAAATAACGTTACAGGACAGGGGATAATGTGCTTAATACTTAAGTCCTTTTATTATGACACTTGGAAACTTTTGTGTTGAAAGGACAAATTTATCCTAAAGTATTTACATTTCCCTACAGGAGTGTGAAAGTGTCATTATATTCAGACTAAGATAAATGTTTTCTTCTCCCAAACTACATGCAGCTGTCAAATTTCCCAACCAGAGACTCGAAACGCATTCCAAGTCCTGCAACATTCTTTCATGCATTGATTTGTCTTACAAAACCATATGTGCCTTGAGAAGTCAGCATAAAAAATATACATATCGGCATATTTTTTTTATTCACTTACGCACACAGCTGCACGGCTGAAAAGCGGTATATTGTGTCAGAAGAAAAATATTTTAAAAAATATATTCATAAAATCATACTTTTAACTTCCTTTTGAAAACGTTTATCTCTGTATCTCTTTCTCTTTCCTTTTGTAATTTTTTGTTTTTTGGTAATATGACACAGTAAATTAACTTAAGCTTTATAAAGTTTAATCTGTTACCAGATACGCAATCCTTTTTAAGATAAGGCCACACAACCACTAATTTCGTCATTTTCTGAGTCCGAATTGAAGAGCCTCAGAATTATTTCATCACACGATTCATCAGTCTGTCTTTTGTTGTTGGTGTCGATGTCTCTTTCGTCTCGAGACAATGTTGCACTTGAGCTTGACCTGTCCTCTTCATCACACACTCCAGCTTTTAGAAAACCGGTGGGTGAAAATTGATCATTGTTTAAGTCCCAGTATTCAACGAATGTGGAAAAAAGTAGCGGCTTGTAATCTGGAAACTGTTCATTTCTGGATTATTTTCCCTCCATTCCAATGCTTATCTGTGAAAATGTCCTTTGGTTGATTTGAGGACACATAATTTATTTGACATTTTATAAGATCTCATTAATCAAACCATGTGCATGAGATTGACCAGGATCTCTATCTTTGAAATTGGGGCTCTAATGCCAATGAAACCCAACCTTGCATGCCTCTATGAGGAACCCTGAAATTATAGACGGCATCCACATGTGTCATTCTTTAATCTAAGACGTTGGTCTTTAATTAAAACCAAAAGCATGAATAATGTCTGTTTGGAAATAAATGCCCAGCTGTGTTTATTTGGTTGTTTGTCTGCATTTTCCACCAGAACGATGTTGGAGGACAACGAGTTCTAGTCAATAAGTGGAGCACATTCATAAAAGCCAGGCTGGTCTGTTCTGTTCCTGGACCTCATGGCATCGACACACACTTCAACCAGCTTGGTGAGAAGAAAGCACAGACAAATAAGAGGCACCAAAAGTTCCATTGACACATTTGGAAACTTTGATTCGAACCTTCATTTGCCCCACAACTTTCTTAACAAGCTAAATATTTAGTGGTGATGCCTTATCAAACTCACATCACACGTATTTTCTTTTCTAACTTGAACCAGAGGATGTTTTCCTGGTGCGGACCAAGGATGAGAGAAACCCGGACATCTATGCCATTTTCAGCACTATCAGGTAAACACATTTGCAGCAAAATGTGTTTTTATCATCCACTGAATGACATCAGGTCACTCAGATAGTGTGGATGAAAACTAAACATTGTTTTACCCTGATTGTGACTCTTAACTCAGTGGTGACCAAAGTCAGTCCTCATTTTGCGCTGCCCTGCATGTCTTTGACGTTGCCCTGATTCAGCACAACGGAGTTAAATAAACGGGCCATTAACAAGCCTCTGCAGCGCGAGGCGACATGCTGGGGAAGCAGTGTCCTCTACTAGACACATCTGAGCTCTGCAGGATACCTCCCTTTGAGAACTGGAGCTGGGAAAAACTGCTAGGAATGATTTATTGTAAGAGTCACTAACTCTGCCCAGAATAAGTTGTAGATCATTTTGAACATCTTAAATAAGTATGACTGCCATGACTTAAGTTCAGCTGTTTATAGGTTTGATTTCTCCTTCCATTATGTCAGACTCTATATTTCCCATATATTTGTTGGTTTATCAGCTTACCATTATAAACTGGTGTACATTTGACGTTAGAGTGTTATCACACATGATACAAATAATATATGTAATTGTTATTTTTTCTCTACAGTAATGTTTTCCAGGGTTTTGCTGTATGTATTTACCATATGGCCGACATCAGAGAAGCTTTCAATGGGCCCTTTGCTCACAAAGAGGGCCCTAACTATCAGTGGGGCCCCTATGAAGGCAGGATGCCTTATCCAAGACCAGGAGTTGTAAGTGATAGATCACCAGCCATATTTCTTGTAATTCAAGATTTGCTCATATTTAGTAAACCTTACTTTTTCAAGTATTTACAGTCCTAACTAAAACACATCTATACAACAGTCGACAGATTTAAAGTGTAAAGCATTTTACAACATTAGGGTGCAGCATATCTCTTCATCCAGATGACATGCTTTTATATTTACTTTGATAATTTCAGTAATCTAAATGTTTAAAGATTTATGTTTGTAAACTGCATGTACAAAGGTGAGGATTTAAATTGGTGAGGAACTGCTCAGTTCAATCACTATAAACACTGTGATGTTTTGTTTGATAATCAAGAGGAAAGTTGGGGCTCATTTTAAAGCAAAGCAGTGATCCAAAAAACTGAAACCACCTCACTGCCCATAAATCTCAGTTAAAAGCTTGTCAAAGCCATTCCAAGTTTCAGGTTTAAAGGATGTTTATGCATGGAACATTGATTGCATTGGACAAGCATTTGTGCATATTAATGCATTAAGTTTTATACAGAAGAGCTTGTCCTGTGGTTTTCTAATTTGTTAAACATTTTACTGCATTATTGTGGCAGCCTTATTAGTTTCCAATGCAAGATAGAGTCAGCTCTCAATAGATGTAACACTATGAGAGATGAACAGGGTTACTGCGTAGAGTTGGAGAGTCTGGGGTTTGACATTTGTGTCACTAATTATGGAAAAAGGAAAATTGAGTATAAAAATATTTTTCTACTCTCAATTTTAATGTTTGCCTCATTAAACAAACATTAAAATCAAATAAAATTTTATTTCTTAGGCACACTTCAGCAACAAGGCATTTCAAAATGCTTTACGTCACAAAATTAAGAAGTCCTGTAACACACAGTCAGCAATTAAAACATAACATTTTGCTGTTACACATCAGATATTGTTGATTAATATTTCATTAATTACAATTCAAAAGCAACTCTTAACATGCTGGTTTTAGTCTAGATTTAAAGACACTTAGTGTTTCGGCTGTTTTGCAGTTTTATTACACACTCAGATTAAAAATCTGAATTTCTGAAATTAAGGCATTTTTAATATTCAATTATTTATAACTTTCATCTGCTATAGCACAACAAACATTTTAGTCAATCATCGACTGTTTTTTCTTAACTACTGACAGTAAGTTCACAGATAAATACGCACATGCTCAAAATTTTCTAAAACTGACAATTTCACTACATTTGGCTTCTAAACTCTGAGATTAGGGGTTTTGAATGCAATCTTTGTATCTTAAACTGGATAAAAACAAATCATTCAGAGTCATGAATAGTTAAATAATCTACTCCAGTTTTTCCTCGTCGAATGTTAAACAAATCCACGTTGGTTCAGGTAGCCTGCCTGTTCAAATATCCACTTTAAGCTTCACCACCACTGGTGCAACTAAATGCTGACAGATTTTGATGAATCTACAGTCGTGTGCAAGTTACACAAAGCTGTTTTTCAGTTCAGAGTAAGTAGCCTAAAACTCTAGGAATAGTTTATTAGGTACACAGTACGCACAAAAACTAAGGAAGAAAAATATTATGGGATAGAAAGGGGTATAAAAAACATTATAAATGAGGTGTGGAAAGTTTCCATATCGGTAAAGTAAACTACTGTAAGTTGTGACTGTACACGGCACAGACCCCCTATCCTGGATTACATCCTGACTCTGAGTGGAGCTCTCAACCACAAGCTGTAACTCAGCCTTGTTTCATACGCAAACACACAGGGATGTTCGCAGGGCATGCATACGTAAAACGCTGCTGCATGGGCTATTCTGCTTCATTACCTGAGTGAATGAGAGAGCATGGAGGAAGAAGATGAATAATGTGACACACCTCTAGTGTTTCTTCGCCGACTCCCTGATTAACAGGAATGTCTTGGCATCAAACAAAGAGGAAAATCTCGAAGGAAGATATTGGAAGAAAAAAAAAACAATAAATCATAGTAAAATAGTGAGGAGGTGTAAGAGGTAGAAAGAGATTTGTGGATTCGTATCCAAGGTTTGACATTTTTGAAACCTGGATTTCAAATATTTATCTAACATTTTAAATCAGTCTTAAAAATCTGAACCTAGAGAACAATTACGCATGCCTGAGTTAGTATTTTATCTTACTAAAACTTTGAAAAATGTGCACCTCTTATCTCTGAGGCTTATGAAAAGTAGAAGATACATTTTATGCCCCTTCTGAAAATGTAAATTCCAGTGCAGTTTTTCCTCCCGAAATATTTACATCTGCTTTTTAGCTTATAGCACATTGTTTAAATTTGTCAGAGCTTATCCTTTAGTTGACAATATGCTGGGATATATTTTACTGCACACCTGCTAGAGCTTTATATGTAGAAACATCTTAACTGTCATCTGCTCCCCCCAAAGTCCTTCATTGTAGTGACCTGAATCTATGTAGAGCTGCAAGGTTTGATGGGTGATTCACTTCACCTGGAAATCAATTCCTCACAAAAAAAAAAAAAAAAAAAAAAAATCACATTTAAGGATTTATTTAAAATCAACTATACTCCCAGGCTGGCACTTTTAGGGATTTGGATTCAGAAAGTATTACTTCTGACATATAAACCAAATTTCCAACACACCAGACTCACTCTCATTTGTCCAGATGTCACCCACAAGACAAAATATTGTAAAGCAGACTTGTGCTGGAGTAAATTTTAAGCTGGGAAATGCACATTTAAAAATAGTGAGTGCAATTTTCTTATTCTATTTTTTCTCTTTGGGTCAGATGTGTACCAAAGAATAACCTCAGCTATTATTTTTGGTGAGACAAACCACCACCGTTATGCCTGCTTAGTGACCTGAACTCCAAGCAGCTTATAGAGATCCTTTCTCAGATGTGTTTACATGACCAGTAATCAGTCATTTTTTTCTTGCATGTTGACATGATGCATTTTCAGGTGTACAACATGTCTTTGGGAGCCAGGTCGCAGGATTCCTCATGTCCTTTTACATCCAACACATTCTAATGTGAAATTTACTAACGACTATGACAATAAACCAAGTCATTGAAATGACTGTAAAACTTGACACAAAATAATGTGGGGAAGTATAATGCTTTTGGAAAGGTAGCACTCCTTGAATGAGTGAAATTATGGAAATTTTAGAAAAGACAAATGAGGCATCACTTTTGATGACTTTTGTCACCTGCAGAATAAATATAGCCAGCTATCTGCCAGGATTCCAGTATTATTACCCTTTACTCTAAGGATAATGCAAACCAGTTGTCTGGAAGATTAATGAAAATGTAGCTGTGCATGACAAAGGCTTTGGCCGGTCCCATCAGAAATCCAGAACTGCATTATGAGCAAACCTAGAACTCCAATAGTTGCGTAAAAGCTCGCTTTTGGACCGTTTTCAGCCTTCCTGATTGTTTTTGTGATACAGTATCTTTGCCAAATACTTTGTTCATTAGATTTCCTATCCCTACAGTGGCATAAGCTGGAGCTTCTACAAACCCATAATAGTGGTCATGAACTTTTATCCAGTTTTTTACTAAAATAAAACTCCTAATGAGGGTTCTTTGAGTCGAATTTAAGACCATAATTAGGCTACAGGTTGTTTGGAAAACACTTACAGGGTGGTGTAAAATGGTGGGAATTTGAAATTAGAGTAGAGCATGGTAATCTCTTCCATCTGTTGGTTTTGCTTTAACATGTCCATTTCTTTCTCACTTGCAGCATGTTTAGCATGTGTTACCCAGTAAAAGCTGAACAACATAAACACTTTTATCTTCTTCTTGCTCATCATCTGTTTATCACCCTTCTTCTGGTCTTGCCAGTGCCCAAGTAAAATCACCAACCAGCCCGGCAAAGAGTTTGGCAGCACAAAGGACTTCCCTGACTCTGTGCTGCAGTTCGCCCGCAGCCACCCTCTGATGTGGCGCCCGGTGCTCCCAGCACTTCGGCAGCCTGTGCTGGTGAAGGCCAACATTCCTTACAAGCTGAAACAAATTGTGGTTGACAGAGTGGAGGCAGAAGACGGGCAATATGATGTCATGTTTATTGGTACAGGTAGGCTCAAGAGGCCTAATGCCTTTTTCAAAATGCACAACTTACATATGGTTATTTATTGCATGTTTGGTTTTCAGACATCAGATTTCACTTGTTCAATAACAATCAATGCTACACTGTCAACATGGGCAAATCAATTCAAAAGTTTCTAAGTGAAATTATTTCTATCTCCAACGAGGCTAACTAAATGGGAAAAACTGTTTCTATGTTCGATATGTGTCAGATATGTAAGTGAAACTAATCTGTTTAAAACAGTCTGATATTGGCCATATATGGGGTAAAACTCTTGGATTCAGGGCTCTGTTGCCTGCAGTATGAACATTAATGTATTTCTGTTCTTCTTGAAGATGTTGGAACCGTTTTGAAGGTAATTTCCCTACATAGTGGAAACAGTCTGGAGGCGGAGGAGGTCACACTGGAGGAGCTGCAGGTGTTTAAAGTAAGTTTTACTTCTACAACTAAACATTTAGATAGTGTGCACCTCACTTTGCTTTGTATTAAAAAAATATCCAGATTTCTCAAGGTTTATGTTAAGTTATGTTAAGTCTTAAATAGGAGACGGAACCAGCCCTTCATGAAATGTTTCAAATGCTTACACCATCATTCTTTTGTTTCCACCAAATTTCATTGCACGTCAATATTTTTTTTTCAGGTACCAGTCCCAATCACTTCACTGGACATATCTGTGAAAAGGGTGAGTCGGTACTCTAATTTCTTACCTCTGTCAGCTTCTGGAAACTATTCTCATATTGTGTTTCCCTTCATTCTTTTTCTCTCGCCTCCACACAGCAAGCCTTGTATGTGGGCTCTGCAGCAGGCGTGGCGCAGGTGAAGCTGCATCGCTGCGAGACGTATGGGAAAGCCTGTGCTGAGTGCTGCCTTGCCAGAGATCCTTACTGTGCATGGGATGGATCCTCGTGTGCACGATTCGTTCCAAACAGCAAACGTCGCTTCCGCAGGCAAGACGTCAAACATGGAAACGCGGTGCTGCAGTGTGTGGACCAGAACAGTAGCGGTAAGTGTGCATTCCTCTTCTTTGTGGATTTCAATTGCTTTTGTTATTGGACACAGATACAGTTCAAACCAAAAATGATTTATTTATAAATAATCTTTTAAAAGCCCATTGTGTTTCTCCTGGTTTTATCGAAACAAAACTTGTAAAATAGCCCAGCAACACTTCCAGATTGAATCTGTCAGAGAATCTATGGAGAGAGAAGCAGGACTGAATGACTGCAGGCACTTCAGCCTTAGAGGATCAGAGCACATTGAAGATAAATTGTAAAATATCAGTGGAAACTTTCACAAAGCTGGTTCACAAATTTAAGAACAATTTGAAAGCTGTAAAGCCATTAAATATATTTCTTCTGATTATTGAGAAGGCTTGAAATATTTATATTTTTTTTAAATTGGAGAAATACCAGATACAAATTTCATGTTTTTAATAATATAATTTAAAATCTCCTCAGGTTTAATAATTGTTTAATTGTTTAATGAAACAAGCTGAATTGAAAATGGTAGATAATTTTATGATAATTGTAATGTGGGTAATTAAGGTCTTGATTATACAAAGATAGTTTCTACACAAAGCCACATGTAAGGCAATCAATCCATGTGTTGCTTAGGTAGTTTTAAACAGACTCGTATCTCTTCAGTGTTGCTGTGCCACAATCTAAACTGTTTACTTGCTTGTAAAAATAAGACCACAGACTGTTTTATGTAGCCCACATATCTCAGGATAAACTTGGAAGTCTTTGAGAAAGTGTTATTTAACTTGCGTAAACAGAAATTTGAGGAAAAACCACTCATACCTAACAGGAGTATTCCAACCATTAATCATGACAGCGCTTTGATTAATGTAGTTCTTATACGAAAGGTTGCAGAGAAGATGCTGCATTAATCTTCCTGTGCTCTGGAAAACAAATTAAACTGCAAAATAAATTCATATCCATCTATGCAAATGTTAGACTTTTATGTGACTGTAATGTCTGCATCCACCCATATCCTTCCTTGCACCCCTCTACACCTCAAAACATACTAGATTACACCCTCAAAACTGAGTGACATTTAGAGTCTTGCTGACAGCATTCAGTCATGGTACTTTTTCAACAACAAGACAGTTTAAAGTGCTTTACAAGATAAATCAGACAATGTTTGACTAACTACTAATTAAAGGCTTCTTTAAAGATGCAGGTTTTTTGCCTTTATTTAAAAAAACTCAGTGTTTCAGCTGTTTGTTCCAGATTTGAGATGCATAGAAGCTGTTTTTTCTGGTTTTGTGATGCAAATCGGACACAAAGTCATAAGACCTGATGTCACAACCACAGATCTTGAATGTATTTTGGTGACAGTTTGATGGTGCTGGTGTTCCCTGCTTCTTTGTAAAAAAATAAATCAAGCTGTAAGCATCTCAGCAAACATTTGTAGCTGAAAAGGTGGAGAGAAACAACTTACAGTTAAAGACTGAACCAAGTCAAACATATTGTTACTTTATGTAACAACTAATAATTATTGAAAGGGATGAAAGAGCCAGAATGACTCATTCCACTTTTTAAATCCTTCAACAGCCAAAAAATAATAAAAGAAAAATATGTTCTAGGGCAATGTTTATAATTTTGACAATAAGAGGGTTCAAAACAGATGGGAAGACATAATAGTGCTTTACGAATTAGCCAAAAGAGACATGTCTGTATTTGTTCGCACACCTGAGTGTGGAGCGATGAAAGACGCCTCTTTCTAAGCCTTTCAGTGAACCTTAGAGGACAAGTTGTCTTTGCTGAGGACTTTTGTCAAAGTGTGAAAGGAGAGATTTTATAGTGGCTTAGTGTGAATTCATCCCTTTCAAAATTCCTGCAGCTGTTTCGTTTTCATAACCACTCGTTACCATTTTGTCCCTTTTTTGACTTAAATTTGATGCTTACAAAATAAAATGACTTCATATACATGTACTTAAATGATTTTCTTAGTTAAGTATTTAAAAAATTGTGTATATGATTGGTCTCAAAATCATTTAATTTAGTTAGTTTAGTCAGTTTAGTTAACAGTCTAAGTTTTCTCTAACTCTATTTTTTTCTTTTTTGAGAAGACTTGGACGTGACTGAGGACAAAGTTGTGTATGGGACGGAGAAAAACAGCACCTTCCTAGAGTGTGTTCCTCGCTCGCCGCAAGCTTCCATCACCTGGCTTGTCCAACGAGACGACCGCAAGGAAGAGGTACGACGATCTGCATAAACAAGCCGGCTAAAAACACACGTTAAAGGTGTCAAAATGAAACGCACGTGCGATGGTGGCGAAGAGGAAAACTGTTTGAGCGGGGTGAAACCTTTGTGTGGTTTGAACAACTGCCTGTAAAAGTGAGATTAGTCATGTGGCTAGCACATTTGACATGTGGTTCAAATTAAGCAGTTATATTTCAAAGCAAAATGCTCAATCGCCTCGTCGCTTGGATAAACAGTGAATTCTCCTCTGGCCCCCACAGCCACATGCTGCAGATGGATCAAGTCTCACTTAAATGTCTCTGCTGGCCACTGTGACTTAAACACAAAGCTGTAAAGTCTTCTAAAGCTGTATTTAGAAAATAATGTTGCTGGGTGGAAGCACACCCACAGAAACCTTTTGTCCGTTTGAGGTTCTGCTCCTCTGAGCTCAAGTGAATGTCTCGCATTCAAGTATTAAGCCATTACTACCCCTCTCCATTTCCCTGCAAATAAACATTTAGCTGCCACTAGCTGACAAGACTGCATGTTTGGGTTGGCAACAGGTTACTGCTAGAGAAACAGAACGGCAGAATGTAAAAATGTGGGAGACAGGAAGCGCGAGTTATATAGGGGCAGCAGGGAGCGTTTCACTTGTTATCTGAAAAACATAAAACGGACAATAGAAGAAAACAAACAAGAAAAAAAAATATCTGGAGATCTTGTTGTTACAAGTTTTTCTGAGGAAAGAGAAGCAGCCAACGTTCTTGTTTTTGTTCTCATTCAATGAAAGATGAAACATTTTCTCAGCTTGCATTAATAGAGAGTGTTGGGCTTTGCCTGCAATCTTCACCATTTCACTTTAAACCAACACTTTTCAAAGAATGTTATAGTCCTCCTTACAGAGGCAGAGCAAGACGTTGGCTCTTTAAAATTAAATCAAGTTTCAAATTCAAATGTAACATAAATTAGGCAGAAAATATTCTTCATATGACAATAAACATGCACAAACAATTATTTTCTCTCTGTCCCATTTAGGTGAAGCTGGATGATCGTGTGATGTCAACGGATCAGGGTTTGCTGTTTCGTCATCTCTTCCGTCAGGACGAAGGTGTGTACATCTGCCGCTCCCGAGAGCACAGCTTCAGCCAAACGCTGGCCCGCATCTCCCTCCAGGTCCTCCAGACAGACACGGTGGATGAGCTCATTGCCCGTGACATCGCGGGCATCTCTGACGGATTCAAAGACCGGTCTCCAGGGAACCACAGGCCCTGGATGCCTTGCAGCACGGGGCCTTACAGCAGGGGTCAAATCGGCCAGTCGCGCACGTGGTTCAAGGACATCATGCAGCTCATCGGGCCGTCTAACCTGCCTCACGTTGAGGAGTACTGCGAGAGGATGTGGTGCAACGACAAGCTCCGGAGGAAGCACAAGAGCATGCTGGAGAAATACCGCCAAGCTCAGGAGAGTGCCAGGAAGGCGCGCAGTAAAGGCTCCGGAGAACGCAACCGGACGCCACGAGATCTCAGAGGACGGCCAGAGTAACGCTAGGGAAAATGAAGGATTGAAATGAAAGAGAATAAAGGAAGATCCTTCGTTTTTGATTCGGATCAGGATGGTTTTGGGAGCCAATTAAAAGCCTGACCTAATCAATCGTCGTATGAAAATCTGGTGGATTAGTCTGTTTTTGCCATAAAATAAGTAGAATGTTTTCATTTAAAAACAAAGAAAAAAGATGAATTAATTCATTTGAGTGTTTGACAGTAAGTGATTTTATTAAAGTTCATAGGTGAAGGACATGAACTTGTCTGTCAGTAAAGACTGAGATGTTATTAGCACACGGTAAGAAGAGACTTTCATACTGAACTGTATATTACAGCATATTCCTAGGATGTTTTTTCAAGTGAGAGTCATCAAGAATTTCTTCACTCACATCATTGTTTTTATGTTACAGTGGCAAATTTTATCACATCCCTCTATGCCGAGAAAACTAATACTGCAGAACTTGAGATTTATAAGATATGTGCATGTCAGTGTGATTTTTCTTAGTGTGGGCTTTGTTTCATGTTTGCTATTTATCCTTAATGACTTTTATGACACTTAATGTGTTGCTGATATTGAGCTTTTCCTTGTAATTTGGAAGAACATCTGAAATTCTCCTGCACACATTCTCACATTAGCATACATTTAATCCGCAAGTGAATTTTGTTCCATTTATATTTAATGCTTGATATTCTATACTCTTCACAAACTGAGTTTATCTGAAATTTCACTGAGCTACAACACTGAATGCATAAGCTCAAGTATCTAAAGATGACATTTTCTGAGACGACTGTTGATGGTTCAACGGATCAAAGACAAATGGTTTCATTCTTCCTGCCTTGGGCTGAACTTTTCTTTAAACACAAGATAAAGATCAAAAGACCCAACTTGCCGGCACAGAGATGAAAACTTCTCTGTGGAAATTGTTTTGGTTACAGACTGTAACAAACTGTAGGACACAGGAAGTCCAAAAAGTGTGTGAACGTCGTGGATGTGTGTCCAAAACCGGATCCCACAGAGCAGACCGCGGCATCTGGCACAGAGATGTTCTGCATCTCCTTTGGTTCCTGTGAAGCGATCGTCAGCTTTGGACCTGGCTTTGCTGGCCTACAGTGACGTGGATTCAGTATGGGGCAGATAGAAAAGCCTGAGTCGGTTCTTTTGGTTTTTAAATGAGTTTCGTGACCAGCTGCATGGAGCTCTTACAACACAGTTGTTGCCAGTCGGCTCCAGTGTTTAGATGGATGTTACATTGTGTTTTGTTGCTTTATTGCATTACACATGAGGCAATGTTATTTATGCATCACCAAGGGTTTTGGCATAAGAGTCGCAGATCATTTCACATGCTTACGAACCCTTTTCATCATAACAAAATTGTATTTTTTTCTTTCTAATTAGATTGTTGTTTTCAGAATTGTTTCTTTTTATCTATTTTATGCAGTAACAGTTTAATTTTGTCCATCAACAGACAACATTTTAAGGGACATTTTCCTTAAAATGATGGTTTCTGAGGTCAGGTCATTTGTTTCCCACCTTTCTGTGGAGCTCCTCAGAGACATGACAAGAAACCATGACTGTCCAGGTTTTTGTGCTTTCTATTGTGTAAATACTATTTTTAAAATGTTACTTTTTGAACAATTCTTTATGTATTTTCTGTTGAGTATTTTTATTTTTTTGTTTTAAATGTGATTTTTGTGCTTATAGTAACTGGAATTGGCTCAGATCCACCACTATAAAATAAAAATAGGTTAAAAGTGGAGCAGCAAGGATAGAAAAGGAAAAAAAATCTATTTGATTTTATAAAAAGTTATTTGTAATGGAAATGTCATACACTCAAATCTGTAGCAGTAAATTGTATTTTATAAAATTTCCTTCCCTTAAAGAAAAGTTTCATTAGCAAATGAAAAACATTAATTACAAGTATGCACGTTTCATATTAAAATCATAATTCAGAAAAGTATTTGGCTCGAGTGCAAAACCCTGAAGAACTCCATGGCATGAAAATAACAAACATCACATTAATGTTAATGGAAAAAAGATGCTGTACTAATTGTGTTCCTTTTTTATTAGAAAAAAACCCCATAATACTGATTAGCTTTGTGGTTTTACTGAGTGAATGATTTTTCAAGGTGAATGAGAAAAAAAAATGGCTCGGTAAGAACAGAGGAAGGTTTTAAATGGTTTCTTTAAAAAGGTACTGAAAGCATCTAATGCAACTCTTTTTGACACTTCTCAAATTTGTTACATTACATTTATATTCTGAATTACCTGAAAACTATTCCTTTATCCTGACCCTTTGCATTCTGGTATGTAGAGCACAACAAAGCACATAAAAACCTTAAGGCTTGCTCTAAATATTGATAAGTGTGTATTCCTAAACTATGAAGAAAAAAGAAAAATTGAAATTGAATAAATTAAGTTTATGTATTCATTGGCTCTTTTGATATACCTGCTCAATTTGTAACCATTAAAATAATGTTTTAACGTGTTGAAGCTGAATTTTCTATTTTAAAACAGAACTTGACTAATTCAATACTTAACTCTGATACGTTGTGCAGTTGTTGACATGAACAAATATAGTTTTCTTTGCATTCAGACAAACAAAATCCTTCAGCTGCAGTTACAACACAGTATAAACTGTATGTTGAAAAATTTAAATTTTCTTTGTTTTAGTTTGCCTCATTCAGTGAAGTAATGTTTTATTGTAAAAAAAAATTGAAACAGTGCTTGTGTTTAATGCTGACTCCATGAAGCACAGAAATTCAACAAACATGTCATCTTTATCTAACAATGTTTTTTTACAGTTCAATAAGCAGTTTCATTTTGATATTTTACTTTTAAGCTTGTGTTCTTTTCCAGAGTTAGAAGTCCATAGAAAAGTCTGCATTTAAAACTGAATGCATAATTTTTATATATATAAAAAAAAGAAAAACTTGCATTGAAATGAACTTTGTGAACAACTTTGTTAGCTGGTCAATGGGTGTAAAAGGAAAATTAAATATGTATTTATGTTTTATTTAAGTCTGTTTCTACCATGCATGCTACAAACATGTATACTGTTTAAAACAATTAAAGGTTGATTGTTTTTAAATCAAAAGCTGACCCCGTATTTGTTTCTGATTTTATTCTTTATGTGACTGCAAAGGTAATTTAACCCTGACATGTGTTGACGCATGTTGGTTATTACCATGCACGCATATTTCAGTGCAAGGATTCAAGTCATAGTTATGCCAGATCTCAAGTGTGCGACTTCAAAAGACTTTCAAACAGCAGGAAGACATGTGTGCAAGTGATTGGAGAGTTATGAGCCCAGTGCTGACCTGAGACGTTACCCAGTCACTGAGTCTGCCCATACGTGTGATTGAAGGCTAATTGGGCTATAACAGCTGTTGAGAACAGGACCGACAATGGCAGCTTGTCACTTCAACAAACACACCATCATAAGGCAATATCAGATAGTAACTCATAAGCTTTACATAGGTTGTTGTCTTTTCAGCATTTATTCTTCAAAAAGTGAGGCAGCTCATCATATGCAGGGCAAAGCAGTCACAAAATGTCTGCAGAGTAATTGGAAAGAAGTCTTAGCGGAAAAGTCCTAGCTAACCGTAATGCATCTCCAAAGGCCAAGAAACAAACTGATTTGACCAACCCAGATGGTAGCAACATGCATCAGTTCTAGGCTCTGAGGTGTTGAAATCCAAAGGTGTGAAGAAAAACAGCTTCACGGTCAGAGGGATTAGTTCAGCAGGGAATCTCTAGAATCCAGCTTGAAAGGTTATGGATTTAAAAATTTTATTTGTAGTTTTTTATCTGTCCATGAAAACATATTCTACACGCTTTCCTAGGATTTATCTGAATGCTGTCTATTAGCATCCTGAAATCTATAGTCTACAATCGTTTGTAAACTTTCCCTCCTAATTTTCCATCAGCAGGCAACAGGCCCCCAACGAACCCCAGCAGAAAGCCAAGGAGATTGTGAAATGCTTTATCTCCCTTCCCCCTTTGCCACCAGATGGTTCTGCTTGGATCATGTTGAATTTGTTGGAGCAGATGGTGCTATCTGATTCCATGGTAAGCTGTGTTTTTTAACACCTCGGTGTTGTGCATTTTGAAGATAGAGACCAGCATACAAGCTTTCATCTTATCACATCTGGATAACGACAACACTCTCTTTGCAGGCCTCAACCTAAAAACCCTTTGATTTGTTCCAGATTGTGAATAATTCTGTTTAGTGTTTCAAGTGATAAGATCACATTGAACCAGTTTTATATCTTTGAATTAGGTTGTGGTGTTTTATAGAAAGAAACTGACATTTTAAAGATGGTATATTGTCTCTTGGATATTTATTTAACTGTGCCTTGTTTGTATCATTTAGGTTGTGTGGAAAACTAGACGGGAGAAATACATCTTAAGTGCCTCTGGCTGACACATTATACTTGTTTTCAACACATCCTTACCAAATAGCTTTATGAGGTGCTTAAATGGCCATGGAGAGCTTTATTTTAAGAAATAAGTAACATCAAAAAATGCACTGCATAAAACACTAGCCAACGTAAAACTTCAAAATCCTCTTAAATTTGATTGATTACATTTTCAATGTATGGTGCACAGCTGCCTCGTAAATTGACAAGTCCTGTAGATTTGTTAAGTGAAAAAAATGCTTCAGGTTTTCAGACTTTCATGCTAATGGAAAATATGCTAATCTGAAATGTATTCATAATTTTCTGCTGCAGTTAAACCTGCAGGTTTATTGGATATGCTTTAACCAGCTTTACATGCTGATATTTGTCTCTATTCTTTGTTTTCAACATCATTTTTACATTTTGAAACAAGTTTTGGCATAGATCTAGGTCTGGACTTTTGTCTGACCTAAACTTTTACATTGCATGTTTTTGAAAGGGACTCCTGATAACTTAATCTCAATTTCTTTCTAGGCCAGATTAATGCTTGCCTGTGGTATTACACCTTTGAAATTATGCAGAATTTTTGCCAATTTCATAACCAATTAGTAGCTTTGTGGTGGTCTGTTACAGGAACATCTGCCAAAATTCAGTTGAGGTTTGTAGTTGTAGTGTCACAAAATGTGGAAAACATTAAGAGGTGTGACTGTTTTTCCAGGACACTGGAAAAAAAAAAAACATCCTTCATTTATAGTCAGTAAATGAAGGAAGCTTCACCAACTCTTTCAGACGTGAAGACGGAAAAAACCTGTAACCAGTCTACCTAATTCTGATTATTTAAGTAGAATTGATCAGTATGAGGTCAAAAGCAAAAACACAAACAGAGCTGTGCCTGTTAAATGAAAAACACATGTTGCATGGAGCAGGGCACGATCTGCAGCGTTTCAGTGTGAGAACTGATTCTCTCCAGCATTCTCAAAGAAAGTCTCTTGTTTTCTATCAGCATCAATGGGTTTGGACTCCTCCAGTGGATGTAATCAGTAACAAAATAAGATGTTTGAACAAAAAAGGTGTTTGTACGCCACCACATAAAGACAGCCCAATGGTTCAGAGCTAATAGGTCTAAATCGGAGCTTGCACAGCAGCTGTGCCCTGTAAATTGAAATGTAAAACTTTTTCTTGGGATTCTTTTAAGTTGACTCAAGAAAACAGGAGGGAGGTTTTACAAATTTTGTCATTGCAGCAGAGTATGAGTAAAGGAGAGCAATACATTCACCATAATTGGTGTTTCTGTTGAAGGAATACTCGTTTTCAAACATGCTTTGCAAATGTATTCCTATAAACTTTACCACATTTGCTGCCGAGTAATGCACCACAAACAGTTTTTGTACCGTTTATTGATCTGTTCTTCTATCTGTCTATCTGTGGCATCGTTACTCAGTATAGGGACTGCTGAGTTGGCAACAACAAATTGCAATTGACTCTCTGCTTTCACTAATTACTTATTCAGAAAGAGTAATTGCTGCAAAGTCACTGACTCAAAGCAGTCAGCTGGGCTTCCTAAGAAATAAAATGTTTTTTCAAGAGGAAAATATTTTATAACTAGGATTAAATTCTAAGCTTTGAATCTGATTGCATGATGGATTGAATTGATGATGCATTTCTACATATCATTAAGAATATGCTTTTTAAAATTTGTTTTGGGGAATTGAAGCTGCATTAATGAACTGATGTAAATGGAATTGAAATCCTGCATTATGTTGTAAAATATAAAAAATAAAAAATCCTCCCAGCAAGATCACATGGTTGTTTACACCTAGAATGGTAACTCAAAGATTAAACTTCAGTAGCTCTAATTGCAGACTCAAATACACTCAGGAACAATTAAAGGTGAACCAGTTTCAGTTCAGACTCTTAAACCCAAGGATGTTTATTCAGTAGATGCTCGTGTTGTGAGCCAAACAGAAGGATTCCAAACAAGCTGTGGGAGTTATTTTCTAATTTCCTTAATCCAAAACTATGGATAAAAAATTTATTGTGAGCATATTTGTGGTTAGGTTTTTTGTTTGTTTCATTTTGGTACAATATTTAGATGAGCTGATTTTACATTCCACTCACAGTTCTGCTGCACTACAATTGTATCTACTATTTCATGCTTTGTTAACTCTCCAAAGTCTGGAAAAGCAAAGCCTAAGTATTTGCCAAAGTGCTGCCATCAAATTGATTAAAGTAATTCTGAATCATCTTGAAGTCTGAACCTACTAAATCTGCTCACTTGGTGTTTAAAATACTGCCGATTGACATAGGGCCCACAATTTCTTTGTGAATTTTTTAATAACTAGATTCTATTTATTACAATTTGTTTCTTTATGTTCAGCAGAAAATATACAGTGTGCTTGTGTTTACACAGCCATCAGGGGACCAAGAGCACATGCAAAGATTCAACTTTGAAGATTAACTTACTGAAACAAGACAAAAATAGGACTGGAAGAAGTTAAAAGGAAGCTTCACTTTAGAGCATTTCCAGAAAATCTGCAGCAGTTATAAAAGCCAGCAACACAACAAAAAACATAGTTCAGTATTTAATGAAGACACTTAACACTGAAGTCTTGGTGAAGGCACTTTCAGACTTTAACAAGTGATTATTAGGCCAAAATACAGACTGAGTGTGTTTAACCTTCAGCTGTGTACCTACTCTTTAACCTCATTCTTACGGAAATAGGTCATCAGTTCCGCTGTTCACTTCTCATTGTCCACCTAATGAATCATCATTGTGTCCATGAAATAGCAGTCATTAGTCAATGCAGTTGATGATATAGGACCAAGTTAATTTCCTGGTCGCAGTGATATTCTTTTCAACACTTCCAGGAAAACAGCTCCAGCTTTAAACAGATGTTTCTGAAACAACAAGAGGAAAACATGTTTTTATGCTGTTCGAATGGTGATGCCATTGCTATTAGAAACGGATGGAGCTGCAGACTAAGTGCTGCTTCCACCCAGAGCGGAATAAACAACCCTGAGCAAAACAAACACCTGGTTGGTTAGGGGTCGGGGTTAAGTCGCCACGGTAAGGCTTTAGTTGCTGACAAATCTGACCTTTATGTGACGTACTGGCGGCTGTTTACCTTTACACGCACTCACATCATTTCCTGTTCGCTTCCTGTTCAGGATCAGCGCTGGAATTGGATTTGCTTCCTTTTTTTCCAGATTGTCTTGATTGTGCTGGAGGTAACGAGCGGCCTGACAGGACCGGCGCTTTGTGAATAATGGCGGCAGCAGCTGTGCGGTGCTGGCTGACGACGCAGGCACCTCTGAAACAGCCCACCTGAGACCAAACCCTTTTCAAACACACTCTGCAGTACAGCTAATGTTGTAAAAGCTGTCAGTGAATCACTGGACATACCCGCGCATTCACACACACTTACGAGCATAAGATTGTAAAAGTCTTTTTCAGGAAACAATTAACGTTTTTTATTTCTTCATGATTTAGAGCTGAAAAATAATTTAAAACATCTGTCTCCTGTCTCAATCAGCTTTCTTGCCTTTTGTGATGTTTTAAAAAAGTGATTACACGCTGAGATTTAATAAATAACCCCGTCATCCTCCATTCACCTTTGTGAGGCCTCACAGTAAACAGTTTCTTTCAGTCGAGACAACACTTTAGTTCTGCTTTGTGTTCAAATTTCACAGATGTGCATGCAAGCATAAAGCATTATTCACATATCTTTGTGTGTGTGATCCATTTATAGTACATTGGGAAGTCTTTTACTTCCTGAAGATTAACCAGATCTTGTGAGTCATTCTTTTTCCTTGCGAGAGCATGTTGAAAGCAATGCAAAAATAGAAGAAAAAAAAAAACAGGTGTAACCTTTCATTGTGCAGTAATATGCTCAGATTTTTAGGTTAACTCCTACTTAATAAAACCTACACCTTCACACAGCTGTTTTCATTTGTTCTTATAGTAATGCATTTCAGATGCCGATGCATTCTTTTATTGAAGTACCTGTGTAATATTTGGTTGATTCACTGTTCATTCAGTAACACGTGTTTCATCCATTTAACATGTGGAAACACTTTACTAAAAGTCTTTAATCATGTCCTGTTCACCTTTAATTATCATAGATACAATATTCAGTGTGCTTTAATCTACACATGTCAATTTAAACATATTAAACAAATGAATGGGCAATAAATAGGTTACAGATTTTTAACTTTTGGTTAGTTATTTTTTAAATCATGTGAACATTATGATTGGTTTTCATTTATTTATTTATTTATTTATTTATTTATTTATTTATTTATTTATTTATTTTTGTAGAAATGTTCAGGTTTTGGCCTTTTTTCCAATACAGACTCACAGCCTTTTTACGATAACACTGCAAGGTGCAGCATAGCAGATATAAACAAAATGTTTTTACAGAGTTGTCAAAGCCGTCACCATGTCGTAACAATATAACATGAGACATAAAATCTGTGAAAACAAATCAAGCTATTTGAAAACCAACCACGTGGTTTTTGGAACATCTGCAGAAATGCAGATGTTTTTGATTGGTTGTTAGAAACAACCAATCAAAAACAGGAGGAAGGTCTTAGTGCTGTCAATCGTGCAGGTGTCCAGTTTCTTTTAACTGTGCCATTGCTTTATGTCTTTCTCTACAACAAAATTTTTAATTTAAAATATATAAACTTGTAGGTTTATGAAATTGCATTCCCACAAGCCTCTATGATTTTTTTGAACACTGGAGTTTTAAGAAAGAAGTCCACTTTGGTCTTAGGCTCATGTCAGACTCGCCATTAACTACTGGATCCAGCCATTCTGGATTTACATGTAAAACAGCCAATAGAGCTATCTAATGCAGGTAAGAAATTAGTTATTTTGTAACTTTAGATTACAAATTACCTAAAGTTATTTTCTAAATGTTAAAAATAAAATCTGTAAAAAATTAATTATTTTATGATTTATTAATTCATTTCATTAATAGATTTGATGCTTTTACAACAAAAGATACTGAAGTTCCACACAAGCATTATTATATTTTATTCCTTTTTAACTTGTTTCCATTTCCAAAATGACTCCATTAGGAGTCATTTTGAAAATGTTTGTACTTCCCTAACATGAAATCGTCTCCCAACTATGTCGTCATCATTTGAATATGAAGTCCAAGACTCTCAAATGTCATGACTCATGACTCAAATGACTTGGAGTCTTGGAGTGACTTTGAATGTCCCAAAAATCACTACTTGAATTTGATGCATTATCATTATTATTATGATGATTCAGGGAGGAAGAAAGACCTTGTGCTGACATGAAAGATTGAAATTCCTGATTTTCCTTCAGGGACATTTTCTCTTTGGCTGAAGGTGTTCCTGACTAGTCCAAAGTGTGGAGTCCAAGCAGTCTGCTTTTTCTTTCTTTTTTTTTTTTTTGCAGAGAACATAACACTGATTAGATATGCCAGTCTATTGTGCGTCGTGCCTTTTCCATACAGCAACGTTTAAGCTGTAATGCAAACCTTTTGCTGCTGATGAGCCGTAACTGGAGATTCTCTAATGTCTAAGTACAATAAACTTTCCCAGATTGTCAGACAGTTAATTCTTTCAAGTATTTCATCCCTTAGGGTTTTTGTTCACTTTTCTTGCCTAACCCACTAGTTTCCTCACAAAGAAATTTATGATTGTCATTTTTGTTGCTTTTTCTTGTTGTATATATCACAGCATGTTGAAATGTCTTTTTCTCTTGCTGTGGGTAATCACTGAGGTAATTACTCCTAATTGGGTTCATGAATCATTAGACCTGTCAAGCTGTTTAATTGTCTGGCACTAGCCAAGAGTGTCTGTGTACATTTTAAGAAAAGTGGGCAAGAAATGGTTGATTGTATGCATGTTGTTCACATATTGCTCATTATTTGGTGCACTAACCAAATATCCAGTAAAATGTTAGAAAAATTATGATTTAGCAATACTCAAAAACTCAAAAGTTTTCAGCTCTTTGCACAGATATGTGAATCACCTTTCATATTCAGAAGACAATAATCTTTCCATCAAACTTCTTTCTCGCTTTAAAAATGCATCTTTCTTACTGGGCGAATGCAACATTTCTTACATCTTTTTTCAAACACCATCTTCATTTCTCTAGAACTGAGGGATTTGAAGGGTCTTTGGTTGGGATCTGTAGATTTATTTCATGTCTGTTCTTGTACATTCTACTTTAGGGTATGTACTGTGTGACTGTTTTTCAGTTCCAGGGAAACTAAAAGACTTTATGATATTTATTAAAATAATTTTATCATAAACAAACAAAATAAAAGAGTCAAAATGATGTGAAAGGCACACATACTCTGGGTGATGAAGCAAACACAAAAAGTGTCATCTGGTCCTAAAGAAGATTTCCATGTGTAAATCTGTTCATGTCACAAATAACTTCTGTTATATTCAGGCACAGAAACTGAAGCTGAATAAAATATGATGTTCAACATTACTCCACATAATGACAGAATGTAAGCCTTTTTTAACAATTCTCAATAATTTAGTCATATCTGGACAAACATGGAGTAATGAAAAAAACACAGGTGCCCTCACTTTTCTGCTGCAACTTGGAGCCAGTGATAAGGGTTAGTGGTAACTAGTAAAAATCAGTGAGCGGAAATGAGCTCAATTAAGACCCCACGGACCACTGCAAACCCATTTTACTCTCGCAGATTTCTGAAGGCTTTTGAAAACACAGGGGAAATAAAGGGCTCCAAGTCTGAGGATTACAGACACAATTTAATTTCCAGTGACTTTATGACTGGTGACAGCATGTTGTGTGTGTGTGTATAAGTTTAAGTGAATACTTAAACACATGTGGGTATTCATAAATTAGGAATGAAAGCCTCACTTATTGCTGTGAGTCTCTTCCAATGTAAATGTGTGTACATGTTGCCAGTGCCCACAAGCAGTTCTTAATGGAATCGGAATGAATCATGTCGGACACGTTTACACATGCTTCAATTTTAAAAGAGACGAGGAAAACTTTTTAACCCCCACCTTGTACTTTTCTGTTTGTTTAATGTGTCGAAGGGTCTGGAGAACGTCTGTCATCACATCGGCCAGACAGCTCTGCAGATCAACTGTGAGAAAAGGTGCATGAGACCTTGCCTTTGTTGAAATCAGGGAGATAATCCACAAACCAGGATTTGAAGGAACTCTCGTAAAAGGCTACATGATAATTATATCAGCTTGCCATAAAGTTGCTTTATTGAATTAGGTGAAGATTGAGATTGGCTGCAGGGCTGTTGATTTTTTTTTTTCTGTATGTAAAGAAAAATTAATAGTCATGCTTTTCTGTTCCATTGCATGCCATAGTACATTTTACCAACAGCGCTTCATTTTTCAAAATGTGGTCTTTTTAATTGACATTAATACATTTAGACTCATACTTCAAAACAATTTTTACTGTTCATACAATAAATCATTTGCATTTTTTCTTCATGCAAGCATCTATCTGCCATGTATGTTAACATCAATATTTTCAAATACTCTGTCGTATGGTAAAGCTTATAAACGCCAGATGTTTTACTGCCCCCATGTGGTTCAAACATGTAAAATAATGAAATGAGGAGACAAAAGGACTAAAGGATGGAACTAAAGTTATATTTTTTAAACTCAGTTGAGCAGGAAAAGATATTAAGCAGGTTGCAAGTATAAAGGATGGAGATGTTTAATTTACTGACATACACAGAGAGAAAAAGTGAGAACAATAATTAAGTACAAAGCCACAAACTGTACAAAGAACAAACTGTTCTATAAAGACTAAATTATAGTGTTAATAGTCATTTAGATTTAACTTGCAGACACTAAAATGGATGACAGGGTGAAAAAGCAGTTGGTTTAGTTAACTAATGGTGTGATATTGAGATTAATTACCTTCTAGCAGAGAAGGTAATTTGCTTTTTAATGTCGATGGGTTGATGAACTCGCTAAGAATATACTTGAGAAATGAAGAAAAAACATGTTGGTACCACCTGCTGGAGTGATGTGCAGAGACGTAATACAAATTTAAAAAATACTTTATTAATTCCAACAATCAGGGAAAATTAAATGTTGTTGTAACTCTTATTAATTCAAATTCTTTGAAGATTGTTATGGTCTGTATTACAGCGAAACGGTCTGTATTCAGCCTCTGACTGAAAAGACGGTTTTCCCAGCAGCCAGGTCAGGGTTGTCCATAATTTTTTTGATTTTATGAAAAATCATAAAATCCATCTCAAGTGGTTCCACACTCATTCCCAGAACAGAACCATAACTACAAACCGATAAAGTTGTAGAGCCAAAGGATGACAAATGGTTTTTTGAGATATATTTTACACATTTAGTGGGGGGCCCAACATGATCCAGGAGAGGAGGAAGCCCAGAACCGAACCTGAAAGATAAACAGCTGCACACAGACACAATCACACCTTCACACACATATATTTACATTCACTCTCCCAACATACTGAAGAGAAAAAAATGTCTTCCTGATAGTCGTTTCATTTGCAGTTACTTGTATTTACTGACCAGAATACTCTGTGGTCAGTCCTTCTTTTTGTTACTAGTTTAATAACAATGCACAGTTCTAGTATATTCAATAAACAATGCAAAGACGATAGTGTTAAAAAAAGTCAAGCAAATCTTTAAGTAACTGCATATTTTTATTGTATTAATCAAAAACATTTTGACATGACATTTCACAAAGACCCAGGTATATTACAGTGCACCACATTAACTTTGGCCTTTGACCTCAGACTTTCAGCTACAGACCTCCGAACACGCCACTGTACCTTTGCCACTATATACAAAGCTCTGTTGTCCACAAAAACCCTTCAGGCTGAAGACACAAGTTGTGTTCAAGTGAACAGTTTACTCTTGCACACAGACACATGCACTCACTCAACATACAAACACAAAAGCCTCTCATAGTAAGCTTTAAAAAAAAAAACACCACGTCACATAGAATTGGGATATAAGGAAGATTTGGTACAGAGGGCTTTTAGAACAACAAAAGACTTTAATTGGACACTGTCTGCAGGAAAAAAAGCTTTTCCATTGGCTGTAAAGGTTAAAAAAAAAGCTAAGGACAAGTCCTTGTCAGCAGAACATGAACACTAGAGAAATAAATCTACATTTATAAGGAAAACACAAAAATCCACAACAACTCAGCTTATCTTTCCACATAAATACATCGGAATAATAATGATATTAACATTGTGCTTTCTTTACCTCGCTATCTCTCATGTCACCATGTCATTGTCAGATGCATTAGCCACAAACTTTAGACATGCAAGTTCAAGCACAAACAAAAGCTGGGTGAAAAGGGATACTCAGGCATGTTTGACATCACTTGTGCTTCAGAATTAGTTGGTGCATATTTGTCCAAAGCACCGACCAGCTGCTCCCTTAAGCATTGAAAATTCACTTCATTAGCTCAATCTAGCCCTGTTCAATGTGGTGTCGAAATGCTGAGTGTCCCTTTTGTTGAGTTTAGTTTAAAGACTTAATTACACATCTATAACAAAGGTACATAAATAACAATGACAATGATATCATACATCTAAAATCCTCACGCAGACCCGGGTTGTGCCACTTTGCTTTTATCTGGGATGAATACACTAACTTGAGATAATTTGATTAAAATCATGATATTTGGTGGTAGCAGCACAAAACATATCAGTACAGATTTTATTTCTGCAAAATATAAACACGTGTTTTATCTAAGAAGACCCACCAGTTTCTTTCTTGCATACTGGTTATGACATATCAAAGTACCACAGACAGGCTCCTTATCTGAGCCTTTTCAAGCAATAAACACTAGGGGGCAGGCTACACACACCATGTCATCACAAACAACCAACAAATATGGTTTCTTTACAAATAAAACACCTAGAGACTAAGACATTTAAAAAGGAAAATCTTGCTGTAATAAATGTCCTTTAGCTGGAGTTCATTCCCTCAAGCAGCATCCAATGATTTCAATGACTGCAACACTACACAACAAGTGATTACAAAGGGTAGAATAATTTTTTTCAAAATCTGTAGAAAATGAATTTAGTGTGCTGAACTAGGAATCCTGTGCTCAGTTGTATATCAACTGCATATCTATGTATCACTAACAATTTAGGATTGAACAGTGTGAAAGACATGTTGTACTGCTTAGTATACAGAAAAGAGAAACTTTATTCTCACTCATAAATATCATGCTAATATGGATATATTTATATATTTATAAACTGTTCTGTAGCCCAAAAACATGGGTTGTCATATTTTGAGTCTGCTTGAATCTTCGCCCTTTCCTCTCACCTTTCCTACCATATTTATCATTTTCCCCACAAACCACAGTTCTCATTATTTATCTTCAATGCCAAAAATGCTGGAAGCAAAAAGATCGACAGTCTGTAAGAATTACTGTTCTGAATTATATCCAAATTATTTTATTTGTAATTTTTTGTGCTCTAATTTGGTTCCTAATTGTATTGTCAAATTGTTTTTTAATAGATTGATTTATTTGTTTTAGTTGTTTCTTCCAGCTTTTGCTGTTTCGTTAACATCTAATTCTTTTTCCACTTTATGGAATATGACTATATCTATCATTACACACTCTCTAGTGGTTTTAACCAGCAATTGGATTTTTTATCAAGAGGCCAGTAATGACTTGTTCCTAACTAAGACCATATATGCTGACTGAAATAACTATTCTGATCAGAGATGCACCGAGGAAGACTTCTGACATCTGGTGATTGGAAATGGTTGATTTTTAGCTTGACCACCTCACCTGTTGACCGCTGGGTTTGAAACTGTAACAATTTAAGTCTAGAACTATATCACTATATAGAATTACTGTTTCTTCAATTGCCAGTAACTTTTGAATGGAACTCAGTGGAAACTGGTGATTAAATTGGTTGACATGTTTTCTATCAAACACTATGAAGCGCATACATCCTGGAAACAGACGCCTTATCCACCTCAACTGGGTTATCTCAATGTGGAAGAGCAGTGACTCTGAGTTCCTCCCAGATGACTAAGTTTTTCACCCCATCTCTAAGTCAGAGCCCAGACACCCTGTGAAGGGAACTCATTTCGACCAATTGTATCCACAATGCTGTTCTTTTTGGTGACTACTGAAAGCTTTTATTGTAGATGAGGGATAAGAACGTAGATCAACCAGTAAATCAGGAGTTTCGCTTTTCAGCTCGGCTCTTTCTTCGCCATAATGGGCATGTACAGAGCTTGCAGTACTGGACAAAGTTGATCTCCCGCTCCATTTTCCCTGATTCATATATAAGATCTCAAGATACTTAAACTCCACTTCATTCCTGCCCTGGATAAAACATTGATTTCACTCTTTTCTAGGTTATTATCTAGGATTTTGAGGTGTTGATTTTTATCCTGAATGATTCGCATTTGGCTATGAATTGTGCCAGTGATAGTCTGAGGTCACAGTTTGATGAAATCAACAGAACCACAACATCTGCAAAAAGCAGAGGTTACCAAAAAGGATTCCCTCAATACCTTCTCTGTACCAAGAAATTCTGTCCGTAGAGGTCATAAAACGAGTTGTTGACAAAGAGCAACCTCTCACAGAAAACCAGTCTGACACCAATCATACAGAAGCCTAAAAGCTGATATCAAAAGGACTGGTAAGTCACACTTCTCTCTGAAAGAGACACTGTCATACCTTTTGAAATGACCAGACTTTTGCTTAAACCACCAGCGTGTCAACCCAACCTGGAAGTGTCTCTCCTCTGCTTCCGAAAGTCTCATCATCAAAACATGCCTCTAAAACGTTATATGGAACTGGTGAAGCTTCGCATTGGCAGGTCAAAGCTTTAGTTATCAAAAATTGGCCAGAAACCCCGGATCGGTGCATCTCTTGTTTTAAGTCTGTTGCTTATGATGATACAAACTCAATGTGTCAATGGAAACACCTCCAAAAATAAAACTGACTCAAGAATCCAACCCCACAACAAATTTATAACATTTCCACACATAATTATGCGTTCCACAGGTGCTGGTAACTCCTCATGGCTCCATGGTGTAATTTGTACAAATGACAAGCGGTGATAAGAATGAAAGGGGGAAGGGGGGGGGAGCACAGAAAGATGTTTTTCAATTACTCTGGTTTTTACAAATGTCAATGCAACATGCACATACATTTTAAACATAATTACTTGTTTTCAGTTCAAGACTATATTTTTGCATCATTGTTCCAGTTGTCACTTTCTCCATTCTGTCTGTATTTAGGTCACTTAAAGAAATGTTATATATTGAAGAGTGCTTCTCAAAACCTTTAGGAATATTCATGAGTAGTTGTAGCATGTTGTCCAGAGAGTAACAGATAGTACACTAACTATTAAAGTAGTGTGAATGGCTTGTAGAATCAGCTTTAGATGGGGGTGTCAGTTTATTGCCTCCTCATGAGGGTGAATTTCCTCTGGCGTATTTGCTAGTACACGTGACTATCCTATTGAAGCAGTGTAAAGGGATCGTGCAGAATCAGTTTGGGCAGTAAGGCAGCACATGCAGGAAGCTGGTCACAGGGATGAGGATTCAGGGGGATGGTGTACCATATAGTGGTGGTATCCATAGATAAATAAACACAATACAGGAGGTGGTGTGTGTCTGTGCATGTCTTTATGTGTGCATTTGTATATGTGAACACCTCCATGAGAACCTGGTCTCTCAGTTACTTTCTTTCACTCTCCCTCTCACTCTTTTCCATCTGTTTCTCGTCATCGTTACTCCCGAGCACTGCGCGGTGCCCGAGAGCTCGGTTTCCCATCATGGGTCCTGCGGTTTCTCCCCTTTCGGATCTCCTGGAGATGTTTCCACTTCTTATTGGCCGGTCGGACAGCAGGACCCAAAGGTACAATCTCCTTCCTTGGAGACTCAAAACTCTTTGACACCTGGTCAGCACCAGCATGCTTCCGTGCCCAAACTTGCTCACAAATTTGGTCAACAGTGCTGAGGTTAGGGTGGTCCACCAGCTGCATGAAGTCCCGATACCAAAGCTTTTGATTGGTCATTGAGGGACCACTTCCGCTACGAGGATCTAATCGAACCGGGGAGTCGGAGGGAAGATTGGAGTTGGAGGAAGATGTCGATGGTACGACTTCAAAAGTGATGCCCAGCAATGTTTGGGTGAATCCGTGCTCCATAGCGTGGCATTGGTAGACCCCGACATCTCTCTTGAGAACCCGACGAATCAGTAGGCCCCTGTCTGTCTGCAGGATACGTTCATCAAGACGTACCTAGAGTCAAAAACATGATTCAGTTCAGCTCTCACAACATGATTCTATTTGTCTGTTGAACTGTCTCTATGCAGCCTGGTGTTTTTGTTTTGCTGTGACACCTTCTTGAGGGAAAGACCCAACTAAATTTTGTTGCCAATGACCAAATGTCATCTGTGTACAGAAAAAAACGAGGCCCTTTCTGTATTTAACCATTTCTCGCCTGGGTAAAGAAAATAAAAGAGATATTAACAATATGGAATATTTTTTTATCTGATAGCTTTTTCTCCAAGATCACGTCACAACAATACCTACTGCTGATTGAAGCTGCTATTTATCTGTATGGATAAAAATTGTTGACTTGTAAAGTATTTTAAGATTACATTTGTACACAACTGGTACTAATGAAATAAAATGTAATTACTTTCTTAGCACATCTGGTGAAATTCTTATCCATTCTTTGCAAAATAATTCAACTTATTCCAAATTGATGGAGTGTTTTAGAGCAATGGATTTCAAGTTTCTTTTCCTTTTTTTTACAGTCTCTTAATTCAACTAAAAATAAAATCCCATGTTGTGAATCATTTTTAGCAGCCAAATTTTGACAGATTCTGAAGAGAATAAAAATGAGCATATTTTTTCTGATCTGTATTTTTAGGTAATGCTCTTATGAAACCCAATCTAGTCAGTGGCCCCTTATGTATAGAGTTACTCTAATTACATTTTCAGCTGTCATGAGAGATGAATCATCCAAGTCAAAAGTCAAATGTCATGAATTACAGCAATAAGAAGAACATAATGAATTGGATAATCTGATAAAAACAAAACAATACAGTGACCTCAGACAGCTTAACCTTTCCCCTCTCACCTCCTCTCGTGGGTTTTGTGGTTGTTTCTGATAAGTCCAGGTGACTCTGGCCTGAAGCGATTTTGGGATACACTCCAAGAAAGTGCTGCTTCCTTCAACTCCATACAGCTTCTTCTCCGCAACACGATGCTTGTGGTGATCTGAAGGGGGCAGAAGAGACAAAGATATAATTTTAGGCTTACTATATTTGATTTAAAATAATAAAAAATAATTAAACACTGCCTGGAAAATATATGCCTTTTGGTAACTTGGCTTATGTTGTTTGGAAGGGCATTTAAAAAAGACAACCTATTTAGATGCTCCTGATGATTCTTCTATACAAGAACATTTCTCCTCATTATTTATCAGAACTTAGTGAGTTGATCCAAATATTTATAAATGTTACGACTTCTAATGTTCTAACTTAATGACACCTTGTGCTTCTAAGCTTTGGCTAAAAGGAATCAAAGAAAAAAACACTCAATAAATACAGAGGATAAAACTTCAGCAGCACTGGCATGGTGCATTAAGGGGAAACAATGGTGTGTAATCTGCCAAACAGTCTGACCAGCAATTTTTGTCCGGTCCAGTCACATCTGAGACAATTACGCTGATCTTCATCAGTTTTACTCAGCTTGCATGCCACATGATGTAATCGTATTACCCAGGAGCTCTTTCAGCTGGAGTGATTAGTCTGATTTAGTTGTGGTGCAGAAACACAGAGAGGGGTTGAATGCTCTCTTTGTGGTCTGAGAGGACAGATGTCACCAGAGGTGAACCGTTTTGGCTGTTTTGCCAAGAGGACAGCAAGACGTCAAATACCAAAACGTCCATCATGTCCATACAGGAAAAAGCACAGACAGTGTTTATTTGCAGCACTCTAGCCTTGAAACCTGCTACATTCAACATATTTTTGTTTTTTCACAGCAAATTAACCATTAACAAACAGGGTTATAACAACAGCACAAAAACCTTACAATACTAACACTCAATACATTTATTGTGATTTTAACTCAAAACCATGCAGTTGCTATTAGATTTTGAGGTAAGAAAGGAAGGAGTTATTTAATTGTTGTATTGATAGTATCAATTGAAGTCTGCTCATCAGCACTGATTAATGAAGCCGTGACCTATAGCTACATTTATTTTTAAATATAATTTCAGAAAATATGCAAAAACGCAACAGCTGGTTCAAGTTGGAGTTTTAAACTGAGAATGTTTATATGATGAACTATGAACATTAATTATTTAACTTTGACCTGACCAAACCTAACACAGGTCTAGTTGTTGTTTAACACTAACTGGTTCAAGATTGGTCGCCAGAATACCCATCAACATGGGTATACCAGGCACTGATGATGCTCACACCAAAACATCTTTGAAGCAGATTTTTGAAAATGTGACAGGAAAAAAAAGAAACATTGACAAAGTGACCAAAAACACAAATTAACTTTAATCACACAAATAGCATAACTGTTACCGGTTGGGCAAAAGTTGGTGGGTGATTCAATGCTTCCAGTCAGAACTGAAGGGCTATTTTTGTTTTCAATAAACTCTGTTTTGTATTTGATAAACTGTGATTCAAAATATCTTGACTTATCACACCTCAACTTGGCAACTCAGTACCGAAAAAGACTTTTAAAAAAAACAAAGAGTAGAGATTTCTGAAAGCTTTATTCCTAAAGCAGAAAAAGAGGCAACTTCATTCACTTTAGTCACCAGGATTAGACAAGCAAAGCACAATATATGGACTTAAACATGTAAGAAGATATTTTGCAGAGCCTTGTAAATACTTTTGGTGGTTAATGAAACCGTCATTGTATTCACGGAAAAAAAAAAAAAAAAAAATGCCGATTAATAGTTTTCCGGGAAATATTCTAAAAATCTGGTCTCCTCTTGTTTTCTTGAACCCATTATTCTACATCCTCATAAGCTGAATGTATCATTACACTTCTACTAATAAAATTTAACTGGGCTGCATTTTACAGTACGAGTGTTGTAAATTTACCTCCTGAGCAAAGGGTGTTGGGGTCTCCGTTCCTTACATCCTGTCGACGGAAACGTCTAAATGGAATAAAAAAAATAAAAAAAACTGGTTATAGTAATTTCCACTTCTGCCAAGACTTCACTTTCTTTACAGCTGCCTCTCCATACAGTACGTATGCCATAGACATTTTACCACAGACCTCTTTGTATTCGGTAGGTAACGAGTACAGGATGTTCCGTCCCAAGCGCAGTATGGATCTCGGGCCAGGCAGCACTCGGCGCAAGCCTTTCCGTAAACACTGCACCGGTGAAGTGGGACTTGGGCGATTCCTGTGTCCGAGCCGACATACAGCTGTTGCTGTGAAAACAGGCAGGGACAAGATGGAAACATTTGACAAAAAGGCCTAAAGAATGTCCATTCATTAAAAACAGCTGGAGTTATCTGTCATAAATCAAGTCATTTGTCTCTCAGTAACAGTGACGACTGTGGAAAATTATGATGCCTTTAGGTGATTTGAACTTTCTGTAGCCATTCTGATTTAGTCACTAATCACTTTTTTTTACTGTTTGTTTTTTCAACATATGGCCCAGTGTGGTCATGTTGTGGGCATGTTTCTGTTCCTAAAAAATGCTTTGGGAACAGGAGAGAATCAAAGTAAACTTACCCGTTTGGATGAGATCTGCATGTTAATAACAGATGAGGCATCCTGAAGAAAAGAGTGGATTAAAAGAAACATTAGTCCCCTCAAAGTAGAAATAAGCTCTTCTTTTGTAGCAGTTACTTGTTTGTATTTCTTTATTTTAGGGAAAAACAAACATTTTTAGAAAGTAGTGTTTCAAAAAATGCTCTGTAGGAACAATAAATTTTATTATCATGTAAGATGACAGAAAAAGGTGAACATTCTTAAGTTTTGCTTTAAACTTCTCTCTACTTTAAAACACAGATATAATCCAGTGTAAAACCATTGAAAGCAAAGTTTTTTTCTAGTTTTTGCACATTCACTGCCCAGCTTGTAAATGTAAAGCATTCTTGGGAAGCGGTTGTTGGTTAAAAGGGCTAAAAACTGTTTTTCTCAATGTTTTCTTTTTTTTTACTTCACCATTATTGCTAATTAAACTATTAATTTAAATTGCTGGATAAGGTGATCGTCTATTAGCTCTCCAAGCTGCTGTCTCTCCAATCACCTTTATCCTGACTTCTTCCTCCAGACTAAAGAACATAAATCTTTCAGTGTTTTTGAAACTTTAGGCAGAATTTTTGATTGTCTTTACTTTGTTTTTTATCATTTTTAATGTCTGTCTGAACACAATTGAAAGTAGGTTGGAAAATTTGCCTTTGAAGTCACTTAATAAAACAGTGGCTACATTGTTTTTCTAAAAATTGCTGCTGAACTGTTTTCCATAAGACATAAAATAGACAGGTTAGGTAAAATCGTAAAATGCGGTATTTATTTCAGTTTTCTTGTGCAAAATATTGACATTTTTTTTTATTCTTACCTTGAAGACCTCCAGCTCTTCCAGTAAAAGTTCTTCCATGTTGTTCCAGCTCTCCTTGGGGACACTGATCACCTTCAGGACTGTCCCTTTGTCTGGAATACCACATGCTCATTATCCCCCCGTCATTTTCATTTTACTAAACAGAAAATGCAAAGTGAAGAAGAAGCCTTTCATGTACCTGTTCCGATGAACATGACATCATACTGTCCATCAGCAGCATTGACTCTGTCCACGGCAATCTGTGTGAAGCTGTACTCCACATTGGTTCTGACAAACACAGGCCGTCGATTCATGGGGTACACCGGGTTGTACATCAGAGGGTGGTGACGGGCAAACTGGATCACATCATCTGGGAAACCTTTTGTGGAATCAAAGCTCCCAAACGTCTTACTGGGACACTGTGAGAAGGAAAGGAGAAACATTTAGTAGTTTCCAGAACTTGCTGAAACATGAAAATGAAACTGCTATGACTGAACTTATCCATTCCATTGAAAAATATTTTTGTCTTTGGTTTTATACAAGTGGAATAAAACATCTGACTCATCAGTATTTCAGCTGGTTAAGAATGCACCAAGCCACAGTCGTGCGGGCCGCATTGAGGCCATTATGGTGTGAGGGCTGTCAGGGACTTGGAGGAGATTTACTCCAGGTCAGAGTCCAGTTTCCCTCTTTAATTAAAATTCCAGCTCTGGATTTTCTGAATACTTAGGTGCACTTTAGCACCTTGAGTCATCTTAGCTTAAAACTAGGTTATTCCTTCTGTGCTCTCATATGAAGAAATCGGACTCATTTACTTTGGTCCAGCTTGACCGTAAGTAAGCCTTGCAAGCCTGTGGGATCTTTATCTGAAATCCAAATCAGTAAAAATGCAGTTTCTGTTGCGTTCTTAAGTATAATTTCCCTACTAACTGTGTGTCTAGATCTGCTGTGGTCTTTTAAAATGAAGTTCAGCATGAACAAATCCTGCTGACTGAAGGCTTCTGCGGTTGGTGGAGTGTGAAACCCATATTGATTGGGACAACTCTGGAAATATTTTGCATGGAAAATTGGTATTTAGTACCGCACTGGGTTCTCTGAAAGTACTACAATTAAACTGTTATATGAACATTATTTCTGTCAATGGCATCACGTGTTTTCTTTTTTTGGTCAGGCTCAACCTTGATCTGTTTAAAAGTAAAAAAAAACTAAAGAAATAAAAATATTCTTTACAAATTCATTAAAAAAAAAGGATTCAACATAAGGATTGAGGTGTGCTAAATTTTAAGCAATAACCTTATAAAGAAAATTGACTTTTATTATTTTAATAACCTGTTATGATTGGATGTTATTACAGTGCATCTGCTGTTTTTTCTTTGCGACTATTAACATACCATTCCCGGGCGGGGATAGGGCACTTTTCCCTGGAAAGGGACCCATTGGTAGTTAGGCCCCTCTTTGTGTGCAAAGGGCCCCAGGAAGGCCCTCCGGATGTCATTCATGGAGTAAAGACACACAGCTGAGCCTTTAAACACACTGCTGCTGGGGGAACAAGAGGAGCAGAGTTAGATACAACAAACACATGCATAGCATGCATGCACTTTGCTTCCTCGCCATTCACTTTCCCTAATGCACATCCTCACACACTCACTCTTGCGCATAAACAAACATGCACACGTGACTAGACTCTGACCTGGAAGTAGAGAAGACAGTATAAACCAGAGGGTTCTTTTTGTCCCTTGTCTGCAGCAAGAACACGTCCCCTGAGGACAGACACACACACACAGCTGGGTCAGGTGGCAGTAGCCCCGAGGTCAAAGGTTGGGAAAAAGATAAACAAAGCCCTATGGACATGTCTAACCACTTTAAAGAGACATTTCGCTGATTAGTGGGGGTCATGACATGAAACAGAATCCACTGCAGCTTAATGCGGATGTCAGGAAACAAAGAAGTCTTAAAATGTTACAATTTTCTAGAAAGAAAGAAAAGTTTACAAACTGATGAAGTCCTTTTTTTGACCAGATAACTTCTATAGATTACCAACACTATTTTACAGAAAGGCTCTCTCTATTGTTGGCCTCAGGTACAGTCCCAAGCTCATCATCTAGATAAGAGACTGATCGTTCACATGGAGAAATGTGAATGGCAGGTGTAGCCTGAGGCGGGGTCAAAGTTTGGACAAAGTCTTCCACTTAGTTAATCTTTCCTTCCGTCATGAGATGAGCATAAAGGCAGATCATATTGTAGCCTGCAGAGAGTTTCAGACACTTTTATCGAACACATCTTAAAATCTCCTGCAGCAGCTGGAAAAACCACATGACAACAAGTCTGAGAAAAACATTACATAACAAAAAGTCTTACTTGAAGAAGACATTTTGGAGAATATCGAACATTATTGTACAACAATTGATGAATTTAGAGCACAGTTATTGATGTATTGCATGTTATTTGTTTAATATTCAATACATCTTAATTTATAATGTTTTGTATTATAATTCTTCACATTAAAAGTAAAGCTGTTGGTTCAGACAGTTGATATTCTTATTTGTTTTATGCTTCAGATTTTATTGTGTCATGTAGCGCGGGGCGCTGGTCTTGGTCTTGACTCGGTCACAGGTTAGGTGGTCTTGACCACACCACTACATATCATTCCAAATATCTCATATTTTTCCTACGCTGACTGGAAATCACTACAACAAAAGTTGAGGCACTGAAATCAGGTCAGCTTCTTCATGATTAGATTAACAGTCTACAAATTTTATTTGAGTTTCATGGAGAACGCAAACTTCACAGATTTTTGTATAAGATACTAAACCTAAAAATGTCCTTAAATGTGTAGATTCATTTGAGTATTTCTGCTTCAGAGTTTGCCCTGTACACTTACGCAGCTCGTCAAAGTAAGTGTCACTGCCATCAGCTCCTGGTACTGAGCAGATAAGACGGGTCTTGAGGAATGTTGTCCATTTGTTCACCAAACTTCTCTGTCCACCCATGTCATTCTGACAAAATAAAACTCAATTATAATCTGATTTTGCATAAACAGTTTTCATCCCAATTTTCCACATTGTTGGATGTTGATTAAGTGATCTCTCACCCTGCATAACTGTCCAATGCGTGAGTAAGTGGACTTTCCCAAACCTTGAGCTTCAACCGCTGTCTCCCGGAAGAAGAAAAATATCTTGTCGTCGTCTGGATTTTCACTCTCAGGGACCCAAAAGGAGCCAACAAACTTTGGTTCTGGTTGGCAGAATTAAAGGCAATTAACGCAGTGTCAGTCATCACTCCACATTGTCCCACCAGGGAGCTTGAAGCTTATTTACAAGACAAACAAAAGGACACACACCATTGAGCCAGCGTGAGTCGTGCTGTTCGGTGCGAATCGAGGGACGTTTGCCCAGACTTCTGAAGATGGTGAAGTCTCGTCCCATTAAGTCTGTGGCTACACCTGCATAAAGCTCATCACCTGGGAAACACAAATACTGTTGAGTCTGTGCCAGTTTCAGAACATGCATGATTTTTTTTTTACAGTTTGTCACATTGCAGCCATTAACCTCAACATGTTTTCAACATGTGACAAAGCGACAAAGTAATTTCTGGTAGGACACGAATGTTTTTCAATGAAAAAAGTAACTTAAACTGGAGATTGTGACACATTCAGTCTCTGAGTCAACACTTTCTAGAACCACCTTTTGCTGCAATTACTACATGATGTCTTTCGGGAGTATGTTCCCAACAGCTTTGTACAAAATGAGAGATTTAAACTGCTCATTGAAAAAAAAGGGTTCAGTCAAAGTGAAAGAAGAGTGACTGAAAAACTCAATAAATCTGCCCACTAAACTTTTATCATTATGACAATAACAGGTTTTCTTCCGACTTGGCGAGTATTTGGCTCCATCCGTCTTTCCATCAACTCTTTCCAGCTTTCCATGAAGAAGAAACACCTACACCCAGCATAACAACACTACCGTGTTTAACCAAGGAGGATGGAGTTGTCAGACTGATGTGCAGTGTTAGCCTCCCGCTTCACAAACATTTTCTCTCATCTGACCAAAGCACCTTCTACCACATGTCTGCTTTGTCCTCTATGTCTGTCAACAGGACTTGAAGTGTTTTTTCCACAGTGGTTTTCCTCTTGCTTCTCTTGCATGCAGACCAGACTTGGGCAATGGCAAACTAATGATTGTGCTGTCAGCAGATTAATTGATTAATGCTCTCCTCACCAGGCCTGTCAGTTTTAGGTTGCCACATTGTGATAGGTCTACCACTGCAGTCTTTCCATGTTGAGATTGCTGACTTAACAGTGTTGTGTGAGACCCACAAAGCTTGGGATATTAGTCTGTAACCTAACCTTGCTTTAACTGTTAAACATTTTCCCTGACCTGCCTGGTGTAATCCCTAGTATTCATCAAGCTGTTTTTTTTAGCTAATGTCATCTATCAAACCACTAAGTTGGTACTTACCAGTTTGGCTTCTGGAGGCCACTGGTTGCAGTGGATTAAGCTAAAAGGTATAGGGTGTACCTCTCCTTGTATGAGTTTGTGCTGATCTAGCACAAACAAATTTAATAAATTTAACAAATTTAATAAAATAGAGTTTGAGGTTGGAATTGCTAAATTTGAATGAGTTCAATGTTTACGAACATATTTGTAAGGATTTTCAATCTCAGTCCAAAACACAGCCCAAAATATGAAAACCTAACTAAAACAATCGAGTGAATAATCACGATGAGATAATGTTATATGGGTTCAGTTACCGATTAGCACAGAGGCAGCATTGTGTCGAGGATCGTATGGACTCTTCCCTTTCCCGTCCTCAACCTTAGAGGGGTCGATCCTAAACACATGGTCCTACCAGGAAACCAGAGCACAAAAAAAAATATTCTTATGCTACTTTAACCAAGCTCAACTGTGACGTGCTAGATCCATTTATGTTGGTTCCCTTAGTTTGTTCCTCACCTCCATTCTGTGTCCCACTTCCACAAAGGCACAGGTAGGGTGGAAAGCCCCGGTTCCACAGGCGTACAGGTGGGTTCGGTTATAGTGGTGCACAATCTTCACATAGTTCACACAGTCAGACTGAAACACACATAGATTGTCACTTTTTAAGTTTGATTGAAAGCTGATTTCTCTTTTTTGTGCCACTGGGTTTAATAATACTTCTAAACATCATGAACTACATATATGACCACAAATTTCAGGTTTTCACCAGGAGCTGTACCAGGCAAAGGTTGGATATTCTGTCCTTCAGCTTATTGATTCACATTCCTCACATAGCTCCTCAAGCTCTGTGCCTGTGGCAACACAACCAAGCTCTTAGATCAAACTCCAGCACACTGTTGTGACGCTCTTTGTGTCCTGGCTGAATACACACATGCCTGCAGAATGTTTTTATAAGGGTGTCTACAGCTATTAGTGTCTAAATCCTAATCAAAAATAATTAAAGTTGACAAGTTTACCTCAGATCTTTAGACTTTCAAATTAAGTCTCTAGTTGATCAACTATATAAGTGAACTAAACTAAAAGCTAACTTAAACAACAACAATACAAAAACACCCGATACTTTCAAAACCACTTCTTGTCATCTTTGCCATTTATTTTCCTGCACATACTCCACTTTCATCATCTTGACCTCTTTCTCTTCCTATCGGCTGGTGTGTTATTGACCCCAAAGAGCATCTGTCCTTCTCAGAGTCACGTTACAGTTAGCATGTTCTCAAGGGACAGCTAATGAATGACTTATGGCACGCTAAGAGACTACTAGATACATTAACTGTGCAACCTTAGAACAGTGAATCCTGAGGGGACTACCCCTTAAATAATGACAATGTGGACATAATAATGAGCATTATTATCATTAATGGCATTTTTCTCTAGAGGTACATCATCACGTACTGATCTGATTTGTTTGTAAAAAAAAAAAAAAAAAACAGCTGTGCTGTATGCCTTAGCAGCGATAATGGGCCAGAAATACAAAGTATCCATAGGGTTAATGCAGTGACACACAAAGCACTGGCAGCAAATTGTGCAGGTTTTCATTACACATACAATAGCAACAAGCATGGACACTAAGATAGGAAGGATGGAAGATGGAATAAGAAATTGAGGTTTTTGGAAAATTTGTGTTTGAACCTAATCAGATGTTTTGTTTTTTTGTTGTTTTTTTATTAGTGTCCAGTCCACAAAATTAGTTGGCTGTGGTAATGAAACCACCTTGGTTTAATTTCAAATTTAGACTTTTATATTTTGGCACAACAGTCTGGAACAAGATCCCACTCTAAAGTTTCAAAATGCAATAATAAAAATGCCTGTGATTGACAGTGATGTAACACCTGTAGCCTAAAAAGACTGCATTAAACTTTCCCTTAATTTGCCTGATAAAAAACATAAATTTCTGTCAATTTTATGGGATTCTCTCTGGAAGAATATGAGTGATCTCAATTGGAGAGTGAAAAAAATTATACAGTTTATAATTTATGTTTATATATAAGAAATGAAAAAAGTGTCCATTTCTCATCTGATCCTCCCAAAAATAAAAAATAAGTCAAATAACTGCCTGAGTTTCACAGTTTATAATATAATTTCTATATGAATTTACTCTTTATCATATCCCAAAATTTGAACTTGTGACAGACAGTTTACTAAAATTAAATATATCCCAAAGGGACAGGTTGAGCAAACAGATAAAGCTATATTCAAATGTGTCTAAAGTTTGACTCAGCCGTTTTAGTTGGAAGACGCTTGACATCCTCAGCCTACATGCCAGCCCTTAGTGTGTGAAGTTGGGTTTTTATTTGCATGTCTGTGTCATCACGTTGTAAGACAGTCTGAATAGCCGTGGTTCTTTGATGTGACAGGGGGAAAAAGACACAGGACACCATTTAAATGATGCTTAAGAGACACACAGGACAGGGACCAAGACTTATGCCAGCAATCACATTTGCTCAAAAGGGGGATTGGAGGATCTGTCTGTGAATGTGCTAGTGGGGGATGTTTAAGGGTTCAGTGAACCTACGACCTTTCACTGACTCATTAGTTGAAACAGTGAGCAAAGAAAGCAGCCTGTGACCTCAACACGGCCTCACTTGACGTCTCACCTTTGCCTCTTTAAAAGCTGTATCGTCCCATTGAGGATGTCTGTTTTGCTCTCCAACTTTTTGTCTTTTCTGGGGATTATTATCTTGATAGATCAATTTGTTTTCTCTCCTCTCATTTGTCTGTTTTGATAAATAACTGCAGCAATGTAAATTCTGCAATACTTTAATAAGTTTTATAAATATTTATTTTATTGTATTCATTCTTTTCTATTGCATGTTTCCCACATGTGTAAAACTCATGTTTTGGTTATCACAATATATCTTCAATTGCAAAGGAATTAGGGCTCATCTTTCACTTCCCTTTTAAACTGTAACTTTATGCAAATCAGGAACCTTCAACAAAGTTAATCGCTGGTTTTTGAGTTTACGCTTGACTGGGTTGGTGGTGCACCATAGATATCCATTAGATGCACAACACAGAACAGTGTAATAGCTCTGGACCACCTCTACCGATCAGGACAATGCAGCTGAATTGACCGGTGTGACATTTTTCTCCAGGTGTAGAGATCTGGAATTTGACTTCATACAAACTGTAAAGTAAATGGATTTTCTTCTAAAAAAATTGTTTCTTATTGATTCAACATTATCTCTGCAGTAATAATAGCAGTTAGTGTTCAAAAATGGCCTGAGAAAAACGACTCTGGTACAGAAAATGCAGTGACAATCATTTTCTACTATGGATTTAAATCCAGCTCAGTGTCACTCAGAGTCCTGAGTCAGACCAAGTGTCTCAGTGATGTGTCAACTGTTTATAGCTGCTGTCTAACTGTGTTTATGTGAACACGGCTCTGTTTGTTTGGATGCTTTCTTGTGTATGACTCTGTTTGAGAGATGAACCGTTGCGGTGCGGGCGATTGTTTCACTCAATTTACTGCCTTTTATAGTAAAGGCCACACGAGGTTATCACCCAAAGTGTTTTTAAGGTTTCCCACCTTAAAAACATGAAAGAGTTTGAAAATATCGGAAAAAAGGAAAATATTAACGTTATTTAGATTAAAACAGTTAAGTTGAAAACTTGTGTGAGGAGAACAGAGGATGAAGACAAAGAGTAGGAAAAACTGTGTGAGGTAGAAATTATTCATGGAGATGGATGGAAAAACAGACTTCTCTGTAATTTGGGTCAAAAGTGCAAGGTCAGGGCTGTTCCTGTGTGGGTGAGTTTCCACTTTGAAACCAGAAAAAATGAAGAAATGAGGAAGAAAAGTCTACAGAAGTAAAAAGTCAATCAATAAAACTAATTGTACATAAAGAGAAGTTTTTAAAAACGTTCTCATTCTTTTTTTCTGAAACTATTTCAATCCTTTTCTCACCACTTATCACCGCCATCATTACTTTCTCTTTCAGACACACAAACAGACTGAAACCTGAACATACACAGTCCATCTTCTGGTCATTTGAAACTGGAGCCTGGATTTTCGTCTGAATGGAGCTCGTTGTCTGTCTGCTACAGCTGTGTAATCACACTGATGACGGGTTTGCTTTACACTCACAAAGAAACACACAAGTTCTGGATACTTTATACACACCATATGGAAATAAATATAAACTTCATAATACACAGAGGAAATCAATTAAATATATAATGGTTTTGTGGCACCTCTCCACATTCTGATTGGACAGTAAAATATAAAACATATTAACTGAAAAAAAGATGCACAAAAATGTTACAAAGGACTTTAAACTCTTAAAGATGCATCGAACTGCATGTGATTCATTCCTGGGTGGTCATTGGTAATCCATAAATCAATAAGTGAAGTAGAACCAGATTTTACATGCATAAATAAATGCATGACAAGCTGTAACACCAGATCAAGATGAAAAAAAAAACAGTCTGTTTAAATTTAAACCACTGACCAAAGAAAAGATATTAAGTCCATGACAAATCAAATGTCCTGAATCTTGAACATAATTGCTGTAAGTTTTAGTCCCTTCAATGCTGTCGGTCAAGATCACAGAATATAGTATGTTTTAAAGAGTTACAGTTTTTTTTTATGTTATTCAATCTAAACGTGAACAGCAAATAAAATATATTCAGTTTCAAGCCAGTAATCACAATTCCATAAAATTAGTGTTTATATGAATATTCCAGCACACTATAAATAAACTGCTTTAGGTAAATAATGACAATGCCTTGCCTTCCAATGGATTTGAAGTATGGATAATTTGACATTAGCATCATAACTTTGAGATGCTGTCATATGCACTTCTATACAATGTCAGCTGCTCAAAAGTAGCAATGACAAAACATCAATATTATTTAATCTGAAGTCTGTTTAAACTGAGGAAGAATCACTCACATCAAAATGCTAAATGCTTGAAGTAAGTCCAACTGATTAGTTTCATGTTAGCATTCATGAAACTAATATTTACTTGACAACTCAGTGGTAATTAGAGACTGCTTCAAGTACAGAAACTACACCAGCTGATGATAATATTTTCTAGAAAAATAAAAAAGATGCTGTTGTTATTGTCAAATATTGTACCCTGTTCAAAGATATTTTTAATTGTACATAATTTATCTCAATATATGTGATATACAAAACAGGCAGATCAGTATTAGCATTTTCAATAAAATAATTTTTTTTCATCATATTCATACTGATGTAATGGGTCCATACGCCATCATACTCATAGTACAAGATGCTATGCCACAGCTCCAAAGTAATTTGGGTGTATAAGGCATCTACACCTTTGGGTTCTTAGGTGTGGGGAGGAAACAAAACAAATGTTTTTGACTTTTCATCAGAGTGTAAATGTCAGTCACATGAGGTTCAAAATAACTAGCTATTGAGGAAGTGATCTCACCACATGGTAGGTCTAAAAGTAGGGGTGCTGCACCTATTATTGCATGTTATCAGTTTACATGCTGTGATTCTGTCTTGTGATGACTCCCATGACTCTAGTGGATTAAAAGGTAGTATTGTGTTGGTCCGGGTAGGAGTGGACACCTCCATAGACTTTATTTTCATGCTCTGTATAAAGTGTGTGATGGCTGTAGGCTCATTAGAAGTCTGATGTTCTAAAGGTTCGTAAACAGAAAGTTATTATGTTGTACTTTGTAATTGTGCTTTTCAGCTGGAAAACATTTTTACTGACCTAGATCTTTACCAAGCTTGAGGTTTTGCTATTTTTATATTTTTCAGAGACACTTTGAAAAGCTTTTATTTTTGCCTTATTCAGAAACTGAAAAACAAATAAAAATGAAACAGGACTTACAGTAATGTCCTTGCCAGCCCAATTACACTCCTCTCTCCAGTCAACAGGAGCTGGCCAATAGATCTGAAAAATGGAAGAAAAGGTTAGAAATATATCAACCTTTCAAAAGATTTGTAATAATAATTGGGTTTTTTGGGGGGTTTTTTTAAGGAAAGGTACTGTCACTATTATAGAAACCTTTTATTTTTTTGTGAATTGTCATCATTCTAGCTCCCATTTCACTTCCTGTCTCTTCCCTCTGTCTAAGTCTGTCATTTCTGATTTCATCTCCTCTGATACCTTCTTCCCCTGCACATCTGACCACAAAGTGTAAAAGACATCAGCTATGGCGAACCTGCAAAGCTTGGCCATAAATCAAATTCACCCACATGCCAAAGTCCATCAAAGCTTTCAAATCTCACACGTCAAACGTGCAATTTACTCCAAACAGCTGTGAACACATGTTGCCACTAGACTGTGTTTTGCTTATGTGGCACACGTAACTATAGTTTTTGTCGGTAACACTGTACATTCTTATTGTAAAAGTACACTGGTAGTTCACTGAGTATTTTTAGGACATTGGAAGTATAAGTCTCTAACTTAAAAAGTAGATGATGACTATTATGTGTTGTTATGTCTGAAGTTTCTGTTAAAGAGTTGTTTTCTTTTCTTGTTTATTGAAAACGTATATATTTTTTTTATCTTCTCAATCCCACACTTACCTAACTCCCTGAGGTCTGAAACTGAGGTTTTCTCATCTTCAAATCCTTTTCAAACAATTGTGCTCTTGTTTGGAAGAGCAGACAAAACTAATTCCTAGAAAGTGAACAGTAAGCGTAGCTTGCAAAAGGTCTCATTTCCCAAGAGGATGTCTTTTGTTGCCAGAATTACACATTAATCTACTTTATGATAAGCATGAATGACAATAATCCATCTCTTTTTGGTTCAAATAAAATAATCTATTTCACAGCTTTTCTTTATCTTTTTCTTTATCTACTATCTGGACTCTGCAGAGGTCGCCAGTACATCTCAACATGATACCTATGTCACTAATTACAATCTATTGAAAGGGCTTCAATATTAAAGCATATTTGAATCTTACCTTATGTTCTTGTTTGGCAATGTTGTCCAATGAGAGTGATAGCAAGAAGTTTTTGGCCCCTACAAACAGCCTGCCCCTCTCTTCGTCCAGCAGCATGGCGCTGAAACAGCAGGAGCGCTCCAGCTCAAATCGCCGCACGCCATGGTACTGTTGCAATTCTAGAAAAAAAAGTTATTGATTAACCACGGCAAGCAAAATTTTGATGATATTTTTTAGATTATCATCTGCAGCATAAACATTTGGAAAATAAAGATTAGGTGATACATCTCTGTAGAAATAAAAATATTTGGGTACTAACTGTGTTGTTCCTTTTATCAGAGTTGCTACACTTGACATAGTTTAATGCTTATGCTTTTCTTGGTTAAATATCAAATATCAAAACAATGTATTGGATTGTTAATGATTTCTAATTATTAAAGCCAGCTTGCTGCAGGCCTACAATATTCTGCAGTTGATTAAAATATGTATTTTTTTTGTTATCTACATGCAATTTCAAGGCTGTGTGTCCCGAGGCAAGTGACTTATGAAGAGGACGGACACAATCCTCCGTCAGTAATGGTTTCAATGGAAAAAATGAGTGACTGTCGTTACAAAGTTGGCAAAAACAAATCTACGGGGAACGGTGCCCAGGAAAATCCAGCTTGTCTTTGAAAATTTAAGTTACAACCGTCCACCCAGGAAAATGGAAAAAAGAAAAGAAAAAAAAAAAAACTTGTTGGCCAGAGAAGTTAGAAAAATATCCTCCCCCATTGTCCTAACTTAAACAAGGAGTTTAAGAAAACAAGACCAAAGCCTTATTAATTTACACATTTAAAGGGCTTTATTAGCTTGTTATTGCTCTAACTCCAACATCATAAAAGGCAGCCTGCATGACATCAGGGACTTTCTTACTCAATCTTACTATCTTGCGGCTAAAACAACGTAGACTCCAATAAAAGACGTGTTGAATCAAAAAACTGAATGACAGGCCATTGGTAATGAATGGTGCAGACAACCTCATAAAACCAACTGTCTGGTTAAAGCTACTCTTGCAGCAGATATTTTGACATCTTTACTACTGACTAGTAGTAATTTTGCAGCTTACTACTACTAAGTTATAAGTTTACTTACAGCTTCAGTAAGTTAGTTACTTAAGCTATAAGCTTACTTGTAGTATAGGCTAGTTGCTAAGCACACAAAACCAATGCTTTAAAGAAAATGATTACTTTTTTTGTCTTACTCTGAAATACAATCATGTCGTTACTTGCTGATGCTTCAGCAGAAAAACTAAGAGTTTGTCAATTCAGCTACCATTTTAATTTGACGCACATTTTCTTTCAATCTATGACTGAATTGAAACAACTTTAGTTGCACACGAGACTTTTATTCCTAAGAAAAAATAAAATCTTATTGAGACACGATGAGGCCGTCACTCATTATGCTTACTTATTAAGCTTTTAATTCTCATCATCTTTTCAATTTGACCTACATGTCACCCTGAGTTGAAATTGAAGCCGGCACAAATTTCAGCTGGGAAGGCAGCTTGCAATGAACCTCTTGTCCTTCAGACTGACTTCAGACTGTAATTGCCAGTTTGAAGCGATGGCACACATCCCTGGTTTATGTGGTCATACTGGGCAGTTAGCTGCCTCCTCTAACATTAAAAAACTTGAAATGGATCAAACAATCATGCCACTGTATTTCCAAGCTGCTGGTGAAGGCATGCACACGTACAGTATTCAGTTGTGTCCGGTTGTTTGTTTTTTTGCTTACATCAGTAGAGTAGGATCAGGACAAACTGACCTTTGCAGAGAGACACGTCCTTACCTTTATATGAAAGTTTCATGCGTGGTGAGGAGGAGGAGGTGGGAGAGGAGGATGAGGAAGATGAGGAGGAGGATGAAGATGAAGCACGGGTTACTGAGCTGGAAGAAGAGTAAGCAGCAGCCATCCCGAGCACCAACAGAGAGCTGCAGGTGACCATCATCATCATCATCATGGTCATCATTTTGGCACTCTTTTCACAAACCGCTTTCTATCAAAAGCTAGTGTTTAGTGGCTTTGGCCGCTTTGAGTGCTGAGTATTTGTACCGAGAGATGATTTATTTATCTGGTTCCTGTCCAGTTCTATTTCATCATCACGCAAAGTGTTTCTCCTAATTGAAAAAAAAAAAAAAACCAAAAAACAGGTATCCTGGCTTGTGGTTGTCGTCAGACTTATTCCCAAGAGTTTTCTGGAAATATCCTCTGGTCCTCTTTTGAAGGACGACCCAGATCACCTCTCACATCCGAGACAGGACAAAATCATTCCGCCTGGACACAGGGACCTAAAAATAGAGACAGAGAGAGGGAGACGATTCAGAAAGGAGCTCTTCTTGTGCCAGGGATGCCCTTGTGTACACACACACATGCAAATACACACACAGTGAGGTATATTTAGTCTGAATCAGATTGATGCTCATGCCAGGGTGTGTCAATGCCAACCTCTATTATGGCAGCCGCACTATAATCCCTTCAGTTTACAGCAAGAACCAGGAACAGAGTTTAAATCTCACACACACACACACACACACACAAGCTGACCACAGCATGTATGAGATAGAGATATGTAGCGCCTACTGCCAAGCCGGGCACAACCTCTCCATGTCTCTGGCACAGTGGTAGAAGACCCACTCCCACTTTCCTTCTCCACTTTTGCAGACTGCATGAAATCCTCCCATTGGTGGTAAACCTGCAGCTGTGGATCAAGGTATCGCTGCTATGTGAGAGCTGAGTTTTTCAAAGCTGTACTAGAATATTCGAGTATTTATTTTGAATTATATATTGCAAAATCACATAACAGTTTATGAGTGTATTTAAGGATCTACAGAATTCAAGGTAAAAAATTGTCTCAGAAGAAGCAATGACTTGAGTTGGATATGTTTTCATTTGACTCTGCACAGCTGGTTCAGTAACCAGGTCATCGGTTTGTAAACTAATCAGTAGGAATGTATCCGTGTGGTGTTGTACTGCAAACACACACACACACAAACACACACCCACGCACACACACTTTTCTTCTAGAACTTTGGACTCTGCTGCTTGGCTGACAGAACAGTAAAGCTATTCACTGGAATCAGCCTCCTTCATTATATTACACCTCATAGTTTGTTGTTGAGGTTTTTAATTATGTTTATTATTATTATTATTATTATTATTGTCATTATTATTATTACAATTACTCTTCATCACTGCCTTTCATCAGTTTAAGAATTAGCGTCTTCTGTTATGTAAAAATTAAAATGAAATAAAAATATTTGAAATATTAAACAACTTTGTACCAGTGCTCAAAACTGAATGTCAATTTTTAACTACTAAAAGATAAATATGTAAAAGTTGAAAATAAATTGAAAGATGAGTGAATTATAGTAATCCCAGACTTCCCAGACAAAAGGAAGCTAAATTTCCTTTTTTTAGACTTTTACAGAAGCCAAGAAATCAAAGGGCCCAAAAAAAAAAAGAAGTTCAGTTGTCCTTCATGTTTTTCTTCAAACACTATTGCCATCAAATGCTGTGGTGGAGAATTAAAACACAAAGACAACTTCCACTCGCACACCGACACACAGCACAGCAAAGACGGCTGGCTTTCAGTTTTATGAATAATGGAGCTATTGAGGCAGTGAGACAGGAGAGCTCTCATAGGCTCATGGCTGCCAGTCCACAACACAACAGGGCAGAGCTGAAAGGAGTCATAAACTCCCTCGTACCCTGCAGTAAATAAACACACACAAACACGCATATGTGTGATGAATGGACAAAAGCATACATTCAAGTACACAAAACGTCACTTTCGTAGACTCAGCCTTTATGAGGTTTGATGCACAAACCTAAATAAGACGCAGTAGAAAAAAAACATTAAACTGTAAGCAATAAAGTGTTAAAATACGAAGCAGATAGAAAGAGACTGTGTGTGTGTTTGCGGACTCAAAGCTACAAAGATGCTCGCAATATTTTCAAGGAGATGGACGTCAGTGCCCTCGTCAGCTGGAGCGACTCGTGCTCAAGCGCAGTTCATGTCACGATTCCTGGGAGTGACAGAGGGTCCAGTGAAATCCTTACTCTCCTGTCGGCTTGGATAAGCCAAACAGCTGGTCCCATTGTCCCTCAGTCTCCCAGAGATGTGTGTATGTCTGGTGATGTTTTCTGTATGTGCTATCATCACTTTACAAGCATGGTTTCTCTGAACTAACTTGCTTATTTGAACAACGCACATCTCAGCACTTTGTTCTTCACACACCCACTCTTGAGCTTGAGAACTCCTTAAATCTCCTGAATGCTCCATACAGCATCTTAATAAAAGAAAATAAATAATAAAAAAAGGCTACCAGGCTCACCAACACTTGCATTCAGTTCGGCTTCAATGGACATGGAGCGGCAGCATGCCAAGAGGGAATGGATTAAAAATAAAGACAGACATCGATTCAAAGGGGGGGAGACGAGGGGTCAAACTGTCCTGTCAAAAACCAGCCTAAATAAGACGGGCAGACAAAGCAGGCCGCCTCCAGGGTGAGACGCGCCTTTGCAGAGAGAGGTTAGAGTGCAACACTATAGCACCAAGAGCAACAATGAGTGAATGAATATTAGCAACTTAACTTCTAGCCTTTCACAGGGTGGAACAAAGAATGAATGTTTGACACCCCCAAATTAATCCAAATGGTGGGTTTATGCTAATCACTAATGCAGGATCCTAATAATATTATATTGTCAGATAAGGAAGATTTTGCTCTTGCTCTATAAATGTAGCAATCCTGTTTTACAGCGACAGCTCTCACAACCGCCGTGATGTCATCTGCATGACTCTATTCTGATGCGAGGATCCAATGACCAAATGTTATGCTCAAATGTTAATTAAATCCATAAATAACATTAAATGCTGTTAAAGAAAGCACATTTAGATGGAAAACCTTGCTCAATATGGTGGTTCCAGTCGAGAACCCAACTTGGTTGTGTTAACAGAATCCAAGAATGGATGTGTCTATGTTCAACCCAGGATTTAATTAGCAAATTATCCCAATTAATATGGACTTGTTGACCAAGTTGTTTGAGTAAAGTGGCATAAGAAACAAAAAGAAAGCTCTGGAAACAAAAAGGAATTGAGGCACAGCACGTATCAACTCAGATGTAGGAACGTTTAGCTGAGAAAAGTAACGTTTAAACAATAAAAATAAACAGGTAATAATCACAAGACAAAGGCTGCAATGGGATGGTGCCATCTGATATCTGGGAAAGAACTGAAGGAATGATAAGAGCTGTGAAAAAGCGTGAAAGCAGAACTACATGAGTTCATAAATATATAACTAAAAAAATCAGATTTACAAGCACAAAGCAGAACTGAAAAGGCAGGGAGAGACAAAAACAGCATGTGAGACTGGAAGTGGAAGGAAGTTCAGAAAGGACAAGGCGTAGGGATTGGAGCACTTGAAGCCTGCAGCATGCCTGCATGCGTACAGTCCAATGAAAAGAATGAAAACGTATAGGGATAGAGAAGAAAAAAAAGCGTATGTGATGGAAAGAAAGGAGACAATTGTTTTGCCTGCAGAGAGAAAAGAGTTTCCCTGGCCAGCAACCAACAAGGCTAAGCCTCCCTGGGACCAAGAAATGAAAGGCAGGAGAGATGGGTGGAAGAGAAGGAGCGAGTGAGGCGGAAGGAGGGGTCCACACTTTAAAGAGCAAAAATGCCAAGCAGCAGGTATCTGGTGGCTTTTGGCTCATTTTGATTGGCAGGAGACATTGAGGACAGGAGAGTTAGAGTGGTTAGCTTTAAAGGGATTTTACATCTCCGCACCATGTCAGCATATAATCACATGTATTGCTCTGTCGAAAAGAAGGAAAATCTTAAGAAGGGATAAGAGTTGAACTCAAGGAGTGACTGAAAGGGAAAGAAGGCACAAAAACACAGAAAGAAAAAAGCTCAATCTGAAGAGTTAACTGCTGCACAAATGGGAAATACAGAGTTTCAACAAAGAAGCTACTTGTTTGGTGAAAATGAAAGCACAGATTTCACACACATACATTTTTCTTCCTGTTAATTTACTTTACAGAATCTTTTAAACATGCTAACTCGTTCATGAATTTATTTAGGGAGATCTAATTACATGGGTTTATGGTTTTACGCTGAGCTTTATACCACATAACTCTGAAGCTGTGTAATCCAATAGCTATGCTACATGCATCTCTTTGTGTGTTCTGGCCCTTTATAAGTTTGGCATTAGGTATACAATTATAACAAGAGAATGAAACAAATAGCAAAATGCTTTCCTTTTTTCCATTAGTCTGCAAAATATATACATTAGCCTCTTTATTTTTCCATTGTTTATATTCTACCTGCTTATCATTGCAGAGTGTGGGGCTGGTGTCCATCTCCAGCACTCAGTGGAGGAGACGTGTGTTTTTTATTATTCATTTTATATGAATTTAGAATATTTTTATTCAAGTATATATATATATATTTTCTTTTGTTAAAAATTCAAAGTATTAATTATTTCAACCTAAAATTAGATGAAAAAGTAATTTTATTTTAACTTGTGATTAGCTTTACACACAAACATAAATTAATTTTTTCTACAAGCACTTTCTTTAGGAGGAGCAAATGCCAAAATGTCTCTTAAGATTGTAAAGTTACATACTCCTGTGCTTTGTTGTGCAGCAAAATGGGTTAAAATGAAGCCTCAAGATGTAAAAGAAGGAAAACAATAGGTCTGGTGATTAATATTTTGTTTTTATCTGTTGTTTTATCCGTTTGGACAACCTATCATTCACAGACAACAGGCTATGGTTCAAAAATAACCTTGGTCAGCAAGGTCCAAGATACTCGCCTTTTTCTGACTTTCAGCTCTAGTAGCTGAAAGACTGCACCCTTAGCATTCTTACACACTAATTAATGAGGCATGTAAAATGTTGGATGTGACTTGTGCAACATTCCAGCTTGCTCTGTCAAACAAAACCCATGCTGGAAAAGCTCCATTAGGAGCAATTGTTGTGCTTTGATTCAGAGGAGATATTCAGCCTTGGAAAGGCAGGTGCAGTTGGAGAAGCATGGCAGAACGTGGACATGCTGCAGATTGCTGCAAACAAACCCGAGGCGGGAGCAAAAGCATGGAGCGGCTACTGTGAGTTTAGGGCAGCATTTATAATTACAGGTAGGTGAGGAGTGCTTCATTTCTCCTCTGCATGTTCAAAAAATGAAGCGCACAGATCACCAGTGGTGTGAAAAATGTTTAGGTTAGTGATGATGAACTAAGCTGACAAAAATTGATTAATTTGCACCAGCACTTAAAATGAATAAATCACATATGAAGGTTGAAAAAACAATTTTTTACTAATCCTTTGTTTCCGCTTCATAAGCCTGGAAGTACTGCATTGCTTTTGGTGACTTTTCGCAGCAGCACCTTCGAGTTCACGCATTCTCTTCTAAATACGATCTCAAACACACCCAAGTACAATAATCAAAGTGAAACAGTTTCTCAACAAAAGATAAACAGTGTTCATGGGATTTTATGCTGAAACAAGGTAAAGCAGTAAATGAAAGGCGATTAGAGGCAAATAAACTGAGCGCTCTAAAAGAAACTCTGTAAATGAAGAAGCAGTGAGACCGCAGCACTCTGCTGGTTGCTGGTGCCGAGCCATCTGGCCCTGCAACATGACGGGGAAGTTTCCCAGCCGGTGAACCTGTGGCTAATCTTTGTTTGATTTGGATTAATTATTCCTAGTATCGGAGGCTTAAATCGGAAAAAGAAATGTTTCAATTGGAGTGGGTTCAATTTACAGTGAGGATTAGAGTTGCTTTCTGCTAAATGTGTCTCTAATTGTGGCTGTTTCCACTGGTCAGGTCAGTCAGGATGGACTGAACTAATCTTACTTTTGATAAAAGTGTGGAGATGTAGAGATCAGGCTCTTATGTAGCTTTTGAGTTTTCTTCAGATCTGCCCATTGTGATTTTAACAAATTTATATATTTTGTCATAAGAAAAATAATGTATGAATGAGAAAAAAAGGTTCTGAAGCAGTTTCTATTGATGCATCCAAACACAATGTCCTGAATCATTAGGTGATCTTTTGTAACAAAACTTACATTAAAGTTTCTGTATTTGTCCTGCCGATCACTGATCAGAGCCAATTAAGGAATAATTGTTAAAATACCTCACCCTTGTGGTTTAGTAAAGTATTCTCATTAAATTAGAATAAAGGTGCAATGACAGTAAATGAAGTTTACTATAATTGCAATTGAGCCAAGCCGTTAGCATACTGTGTGGGAAACAGAAGCTGCTGTGAATCAAGACGCTGCAGAGCTGCCTCTGGTCTTCTGACTGGATCTGCTCCAAAGAGCTCTCAGAGGAGAGACAACTCACTGCTGTAAGTGAAACAAGATCTCAGCTTTCATTGTAGTTCTGTGAAGAAAAATCCCACAAGCAATCAACAAAACATGAAAGATACTTTGATATGCAATGGTTCGGGAATAGTATTGTTGCACACTTTGAGGTTCTAAAGACAGCTGGCTGAGTAAAGCTTTAACAGCTGTTTTGTCTTCTTCAGATGGTCCATCTCTATGCAACTAAAGCAACGACATATCAAGGAGAATCGTAGAATCAGTTATAAATAAACGTGACACTTACCCAAATCTTAACCAAGGGTTGTTGCGGAATTAAATGATCACAATAATTTTGTCAAAGTGACTATTACTTTCAAAATGAACTTCTCTGGCAGATGTTTTAGCTATTTATTAAGCTATTTATATGAACTACAAATGTTAAGGAGCATACTTTAAGTTTGACATCCTGAATCTTAGTTTGACTCTTATTTTTTACTCTTAAGCATAAAAGAAACAAAAACTTGAGACATAACCAAAGATAACTGAGCGCAGCACAACATGCAGAGCTACGTTTAAGGGTTATTTCACAGTCTGAACTTCACTTTTCCTTTCTAAAACCTAAACTATTTGGACTCATCAAACTTGTTGGCCTGGTTAGAATTGGATAATACAATATTGAACAGAGATCTTTGAAAATAAGATTTTTAAAACTGTTATTCTATTTTTGTTAAAAACATAAAAGGGGATCACTTTTAGCAGAAGGGCTTTACAAAATGTAGAAAAGCATAAAAAGCTCAATGCATAAGCTAAATTTTCATGCTGCCTTTTTTTATTTTTTTTACACCAAGTACACATTTAAAACTAACAGTCTGTGATCTGTGAAAGATCTATTGTGCAAGAAAATTTGGACTTTTAGATTCTCCATAAATAATCCTAGAAAGTCTTTTCTGCTCATTCTTGTGAGTAAGTATCATGTATGACCTTTTACCCACAGTCAGTATTAGACCAAGACATTCAGGCAGCAGCCCTGATATTTAGTGAGTAGTCCTTTATTCCAACCATTGACTGTTTATACTGGCTAACCCAAGCAGGGAGGGAGGGAGTCTCTTATTCCACTTGGGATCAAATTTATCAATATAAATTTAATAAAATAATTTACTTAGACTGTAAAATATGATTTGAATGCTTACATAAAACCTGAGCAGATTTGTTTGCCTGTTCTCTGTGTGTGTCACAAAACCTAGCTGCATGGCTTCAATATGACAGACATACATGTGTGGTGCACCTTATTGAGGATGTGGTTTCCACCAGTTATACTAACATCTGTGTCCATGCATGACATTACATTAAATGATATATTTCAGGTATTTGACAGTTTCTGAATGTATGTGCTAAACACTGAATGCATTGTTAAAAAATTGTGAAGAATTTTAAAAATGGTAAAAGTGATAAATGTTGTTAAACTGTACCACCAGTTTGTAGTATCCATACAAAATATCACTTTTTGTTGATAAAATTGTACGACAGTGAATGTCTAAAGAATCAATTCTGATAAAACAACTGATGTATCAGATACATTTATAAAAACAAAAAAAATAAACTGTCGAAAATGTAATGTGTCAAGTTTTAAAGAATGAAAATGCCTGTGTCTTAGAAAAGTATGTTTATGCATGATGAGGGACAAAATGTCGCATCCCGCTGCAGAAACAGGAGACTTAAAACTGTTTCTTCTAAAAGAATCAGGTTTATTTGATCCAACTTGGCACATTAAACTGAAATGAGACATTCACAAAAAGACACACAAAAGTCTTCTGCCAAAGCAGATAAATAAAGATAGGAAATTGTTTCTTTTTTATCTTTAAAAGTAGTTTTTTTGTGTGTGTTTTACTCTTGATGCTATGAAACACAGTGAAAAGATTGTGGTCATTTTTCAAATTTATTTCACATTGGAAAAATCAGACCAGGCAGACCATAACTCATACAACATGTCTGCTACTGATTTCATTTTAAATGACAGAAAAATGACTTTGCTATCTAGATAAATTAAAATACTTTCAGACTGAGCTAAGCCCCAGGTTCCTCACCATGCCTCCAGTAACACCCCTATTATTAAGCTAATGTCATTCAAATACAAAAACACTTGGGTTGTTTCTGCAAGCGATTAAAACTCACCTTCCCATCCAGTTCCAAGAGATAAAAATCTGCAAAGACTCAGAATTGTCCTGGTGAGGATCAGCATCCACCTGAGCCCTTCATGCCTCTTGTTGCACTTATCGATTCCAGTATGTGAAAAACTTTTCTGTCGTTGGTACTATCAAAGTTATTGCTCATGCACACCTTTTCACTCTTGCTGAGCTCTTAATTTCCATTAAAGGTTTAACATTTCTCAAGTCAAAGTAGGTAAGGAGGATGAAATCTTAATTACTTAAATCGCAATAGAACTCAGAAAGCGGGTAAATACAAAAAACCAAATTTAGCAATCCTGGAAGAACCTCTGGAAAAAATAATATTGGTAATTCCAGTGAAGATGAGAGAAAGAGTGAGCAGCTCTGCAGTCCTGGCTTGGTGAAAAATAAAAGTCCATTTAATCTTTAAAAAAAAAAAAGTCCTATAAGCAGCTGTAAGTTGAAAAGCGACGCAGAGATCTGAGTATTCCCCTGGCTGCAGTCAGCCACACTGATGAACGACTGCACTTCAGCTCCTCTTAAAAAAAAAAAAAAAGAAACAGAGCGCTGTGCACACACATAAAACTCCTCTTAACACACACACTGAGAGTTCAAACACACACACACAGACAGGGAGTTTTCACAGGAGCTGAGTGGAGCAGAAACGCTCAGAGGGAGAACAGGCTGAAAGAATGAGCCTAATTTAAAAGGGGAGAGAACGGATGGGAGAGAAAGATGGAGGGAGGGGTTGAAAAGAGGAGAAAAAAAGGTGGGAGGTGAGAGGAGGGGCGTGGAAAGGGCCAGAGACATGGGGTGGGCTGTTCTTCTCTACGAGTATGAATGCTACTGTATATTTATGTAGCTACCTGGGTGAAACGGTTTCCTCTTCTGCCCTTGATTGTGACGAGAGACTTTAACAAACCGCTGAAGGCAGAAAACCTCAACTAAGAAAACTCCCTTCATAAAGCACTCACTGTTAAACACTGCATGACTTTTTCCCAAAAGGCACCGGAAAATCTAAAAGGTTCTCCCAACATAACCTCATCATACTTTCCACGTGGCTTCCCATTGTTTTTGGTTTTATTGCTGCTTTTTAAATCAAGACGTCTGCAGTGGCTTAGTGGTATGAAACTTCAGACTCTGTTGGAGGAATGAAGAAAAAAATGCAATTCTGAGAATTTGGGTGAAATCAATATCACATTCAGACGGAAATCTGACCATTTTTTATTTTTTTTCTAAAAGAGTCGCCAATTACATCAACACGTCTCCAACTGATTCTGTTTGACACACATTTCAAACAAAGACTTTTAGCGAGAATCACCTCACACAGTGTGACATGCGATGAAACAAGCAAGTTGTTGCACAGCTCTCATCTGTCAAGGCTTAAAAACTTGGCTGTAATCGCTGGAAGACGTGACTTGACACTTACTCTGACCAACACAAGACTTCCCTCTAAAGACTTTGTGTGTCGCTATATGAAGATAGCAGAACCATTTGGATTGAAATCTGTGTAAACATGTAGAGATAAAAAAGCTTTCCAGACAAGTAAGAACGGTTTAGGCTGACACCACAATGCCACACACTCTGATCCACGCCCAGTACGAGGGTAATTGGCGAACGTTTGTGGCATATGGGGGTTTACATCATCTTGTGGTCATATCACATGTGGGTCTGTCTTTTGTTGTAGTTCGATACTTGAAGGTTTTTGGCAGAAAAAAATTATGAGAGCTCAAGAATGGAGAATTAGATACAATAGTCACATCAGGAAAAAGACTAAAGTTTTAAAGATATATCAGGATTTTCAGTCTCAGCCCTGTGCCTCTACTCTTTCCTATGTCAACTGTTGATGAATAAGACAATCTACAGAGTAACCCTTTTGGCTGAAAGAACTCGCAATTGGCTGCAAATAAATGCCACAACTGAGTGACGGGCTCCACTGTACAACTCACAAACCTGAAACTATTTAAGCCTGCTCCCAATAGGGGTTAGAATCAGACTGCCTTACTAAAGTATGTGTATGTATTTCTGCCACAATACCAGAGAATCATGAAGTGCAGCGTTTCAACACATTGTATGCATTTGACATTAAATGACTCAAACTGCAGGAGATGCAGATAAACAGATAACTCCCGCAACACCGGCTCTATATGCACAGAGGTCATCCAGATATAAAACCTATCACTGTCTGGGGATTTTAGTTGTGATTTTGGCTTTCCATGTTGGAATCCCAATATCTTGGGACGTACTTCTGGACTTTTGTCGACTTTGGATTCAGAAATTCCAACTTCACAAAAACTAACCACGAAGCATTTGTTGTTTCCTTTTCTCTTCTTTTCCTCCATTCGTCTGATTCATTTGTATGTTAAGATTCCCTTTAAACGATTAAGGTGACTCAGGCTATTAAGAAGATTATTTCCAGTCCATACTGACTTCAATCCAGAATCTAATTGACCAGATGTGCCAACAGAGTTGTTGGTTAGAGTCTTACATTAGCATCAATATTACACTGATTGTTTCTCCAGCATTCCAGCAGCAGGTACCACACTGCACCTGGCAACCAGGACTCATTCACCCTCTCGAACACACACAGCCCACTGTGACTCGATCAGGGGTCTCACATCAGGGTGCGCATAAAGCAAGGGTGGGCTCTGTCCTCAGGTTAGCAGGGCAGTCCTCATACAATGCACACTCATCTCCAGGGCTCTAAACACTTTCATGCACATTGGCATTTGCACAATTAAAGCTATATGTATGTCTCGACCCTGTGCCCCGCCCCCTGCTGACCTGTCTGTCATAAACCAGCCTGATGTCTCTACAGGCTACAGAGTGAGCTCTGTGATCATGACAAAAGCCTTTGTCTCAGCTAAAGCTTCTGTGCTATTGAAATAGATGAGGGTCCAGTGGCCTAATTGTCTCCAGATCAGCCTCTGTTTTATTGCAAGTCACTGAACCAAAATGATCTTTATGTCGGAGCGGACCAGCGTCTTCTTATCAGAGCCTATCTTCTTGTCTATTTATTACTCCATCACAGTCTCAAAAGGTAACAACAGAATACATAGGAGGCACTAAACTGCATCCAGAAGTAATCGTGCTTACCTCAGCCAGGGCAGCTGAGGTAATACGGATCAGCTGGATTGTGTTTTGTAAATTGATACGTTGTTTTGTTTTATCATATGTTTCAGGTTACATAATTTGGCAGGCAAGAACTCTCACATGACTTCTCTAATAACTTCCTCTTTTTAGACATTTTTAGAAACGTCAATCATGTGACTGAGTGCGCCCTTTCAGCTGGAGCAACGCCAACTACGCCCTCTTAAGGAGATTTTTTCAGAGGTGACAGTTTCATAAAAGGATTCTAGAAAAAGACATTAAATCAGCCCTGATTTAACCCGATTAAATGAATTTAGGACAGCTGCTTAAAAAAAAAAAAAAACTTCTGAAATAAGCTTAGTACATATTTCAAGACAGAGTCATGTAACTCTGGAGGTGCAGTAAAAGGTTGTACAATATTCATACTAGGTATTATATAACCAGCACAGCTGAATATACTTCTTGAAACCAAAATCTTGTATCACATATTTATCTCAGCAGCTCTGCTGTGGCAAATGTAATGTGACATTTAATGATTTTCAGAGTGAAGGTCCTAACTGTTGTATATCTAATGTCAGACTTTTTCTACAACCTAACTGGGTTTGTATACAGTAATGCAATGAAATGCAGGTCTCAAGAATCTGTAGAGATACCATGAACCACTTGGTTGCTTCGCTCATTAATCACGTTAATCATGCCTGGTCTGTAAGTTCAGGTGAATGTCCATGCCTTCTTTGCTTTGTTGCCGCACTGTACCATTTCCATATTTGGGTAATCCATAGAAAAGCGCTGCATCCAAAGCTCAGGATATTGTTTTACAACCTAACTGTGATGTAAAACTCTCCATCGCTTTAGTTTGGACATTTCTTCCAGGTCTTCATAATGTGGTTTGTTCACCAATGTTCTGCCAAGAAATTTGCTAATGAGGTGACTTTTGGAGGCGGTTAAATAAAAATGCACACCACATTTTTTAGATTTCTTGCTTGTCGAAAAATATTAAAAATCATTCTGTGTTTTCCTTTGAATTCAGAATTCTCTACCACTTAATGTTAGTTGGGCACAAATTATTCCAAATAAAATACAGTGAATTTTGTTTTTGTGAAATAGAAAGATTGTTCAAGGGTATGAATACTTTTATAGTATTCAAATCCAATGAATCCTATATTTTGTGTTGAACCATTGTGATCTTCAATGTGACTGTGAATTAATTCAGTGGATATACGTTTAGTTACTCTAATTTTCAAATAATTAAGTTAATCATTAATAAAGTCTATTACGATTACATTTCAAACAGTAAAAACTGATGCTTAATGTAATTCAAAAACGTGGATAACACTAGTGTTGTTAAAAACAGCAGTGCATTAACACGTATAAACCTTTATAAACAGATATTAAATTATCCATATTTAATGTGAAAACAATCTACTGAAGCTGAAGTGCAATTTGAGTGAAACAGCAGAGTCCCCACAGCCAAGAGGCTCAGCAACCTTCACTGCCAAGTAAGAAAACAGAGCCTGACTTCATTTTGGCTTCTAATACTCTGAACCCAACTTAGCAACAATGATATTAGATTAGCTATTAGATATTTTTCATTATTGCTTAATCAAATTAAGCATGCTCACCGGGTGCATATAAATATATTAATGTTGCACTGACTCACTTCTGAAGTCAACCTTGAACAAAACACCCAGAATGAAAGGGAAATACCAACACCACAGTGCTGGAGGATCACGCTTCATTGCACTTAATGATACCATATTGACTTTAAAAACTGCACCTATTACCATAAGTGCTGTGGAAGCAGAGTATTGCTGTTGGAATAGATTCCCTCAGCAAAAATATTAAATCCAGGCTTTTATTTAGACAGGCTCCTTGCACAGTACATGCCGCTCGCTCACATGGCTGTGGAGAACATCAGACTCACAAATGGATACGATTTTAGAGGCTGATCAAAGTAAATATATAAAAGTAGGTTGTTCTTTCACACTTTTAGCATTGCCATGATTCCATCCTTTTGAACTTTTGTTCATTTTAAGTGTGTGCACATTCTGTGTGTGATGTTTCTATATTTGGGCGTAGCGCACAAGCACATCGTGGCGTTGCTGTGCCCTAATGAAGAATGCTCTGAAAATCCTGGTGGACAGATGTAGAGCCAGAGAGCTTCTTTAAGAGCAAGGGAGGAACAATGGCGTCAGATAACATGCATACTACAAATAACAGCAACTCCTTTTATCGCCATGAAATTAATCTGGACATGGAGTCCCATCCAAGTCTTGAGTTCAACAGTTGCAGAAGCAGCTGGGCTCTTGGATGCAATGCCTTTATCTGCAGTGAGGACTCAGCACGTTTTAACTTGATGGTGAAGAATTATTTCTTTATGGTTTCATCATGTTTCAGTTTTCAAACCTTTTGCCAGTTGTAATGCTTTTAAAGTGAGCAAAGGTTTGCTTTTCTTCTAGTTATTGTGCCTACAACACGAGACAGTATATCTCTGAACCTTTTTAGCTTATAGCATGAAAAAACATAGTAAATTTTAGTATACTATGTGGAATAGAGTTCAGCACGTAATTTTTTTTCTTCTGTTTTACTCGTACCTTATGCATGACAACTCCTGTCGTCAACCACCACCAGCTTTCAGAGTAGCTAACTTTGACGACTGATGACCGAAGGTAATTTTCTGCAATCAG